CATTCATTCCTGCAATCATTTCATTATCATCAAGATTTCTGATATTTCTAATCCAATCATGTAAATATATCAATTTTTTTGATAAAAATCAACATTTCTAGGAATTTACATTCATTACCATATTTGACCTAATAAATGCAGGATGTGCGTATATAATCGCAAGATCAGCATTCTTTGATAAATTAATCAGCGGAAAAAATCACGCTAAGAAATCTTCGGTAAGCAGAAAAGCTTTGAAGCAGGAATAAATTCGTAAACTTAAGTCATACTACTATGTACAATGTACTTAATTATCTGGGTAGCAATGACTTCTAGCATTTTTTTTTTTATTAAACTCAACCATTTAAAGAGGTATGTAAGTTGTGATTGGAAAGGCAGGTGCATTTATAAGGTCAAATATGATATTGAAAAAAGTTTCAATTACTGTTTACTATTCAAAAAAGAAGTTTTAAGTGTGGAACTCTTCAGTCAACCACCTCCTTAATAGAACAAAAATAATCTATATTCATATCAGTGACATCAGTCTCTTGTAAAATATGCTAATGCTTCTGCTGATCATTGAATGAACTTCCAACTTTTTACTCAACAAATCATTCCAACATAGACATTTACACAACACACAATTTCTTTCACAATTAAGATTTTTATACTTGAAGGGAGGTAACTCAAATAAAATCCATTTACACACATTTGAACACAATCATTGTCCATAAATGCTTAAGAATCTATAGGTTACATGATTTCATACACACTTGAGCAATGATTTTATCATTGACGAAAATCACACATATTTCTATTTAATATACAACATGAGTATTTGATTTCTAATTAATTTGAACAATCTAGCATTGAGATCCAATTCTACAATTTCCATCACATATTTAATTGCAAATGTATAAAATGGCTCAATATATGCAAATAATTAACCATTATTGAAGTTTAACAATTTCCTCAGATTTGACTTATTTGCACTGCCTTAAGTATGGCACTTTTATTGATTGATTAGGAACTAAAACAGATATTGTCATGAAAATAAAAAAAAACTTCATTTATATCTTTTGTCATTATTATAACTGGAATCACAAAGAATGAATAATAATTAATTAACGTTTACAATAAATCTACTTAACACATCATATCCTAATGTTTTTGTCAGACATTTTTAAATGGATTCTCCTTTCAACTGTTAATTGGTATTGCAAAAAAAAAAAAAAAAAAAAATAACAAACATATATACAAGTTTATCATAATACAGATATGTTAATTAAATACGAATTACAATTAAAGTACAATTCTTATTTTTATTTTTCATCCTGATTCTGATGTTTTCAAAATTTGTACACTGATTAATACAATGTCTAAGTACATTTTCCTCTGATTAATATATCCAGGTTTGTGTCCCACATATTCTATAAAATCATATTTTTGCAGTGTTAAATTTTCCAAAAATTACTTTTTTGTGGACACCTGATTTCATTGACAATTACAGCTCGATATGTTTCATACTGATTTCAACAGTTCATAGACATATTACCCACAAATCCATGAAAATAACACTTCCACTAAAATGAATGATTTACAGTAACTGGTATCAGTTATCATCCTAGCCATATTCTTCACAGAAGATACAGAGCTACAACAAAACCAAATACCTAAGCAGTTTCCTGAAAACTGATTCTTTGGACCGATTGATATAAACAAGCACTGTTGTCTCCATTATTGTCTCATATTACTGTAAAATCAAACATTTTGGCGAGAGATTTATTTTCATGGATTTACAGGTACATGTGTTCTCTTAATCCACAATTTCATACATCCGTGAACTATTAAAATAATTCAATGTAGATTTAACGATTTATATTGATCTTCGAAATAAAATGTCTGTGAAATGGTATTAAAAAAACAAAACGCAAAAATTTAGCCTCACAAAAATGTATGATTCTACAGTTTTACAAAAAAGTTCTGTCTGATAACATTTCTTACACCAGCATTGATACATATACAACAGCTCCTTAACATCTACATCTCATTAAATATCTATCTAGGACTACCTATGATCAGTTTTCTTCTCCTTAAGAGACTTTAAAGCCATAATGGTTTTAAGTGGCTATCATGATCAATTTCACCTGGCAGACATGTACAATACAGAATGAGAGAAGAAATTATGCAGATTTTGCATTGCTCAATAACGGTAATTTAAACTATCTAAACACAATTTGAAAAAAAAATGTTGAAAATTGTAATAATTGTTAAAAACTTTTGTAGCTCAAATTCAAATTTTTCCCTCTGAATTAAAAACAATACTAATAAATAAGAAATTATTAAATTTGAAAAAAAAATATTGGAAATTGTAATATTTGTTAAAAACTTTTGTAGCTCAAATTCAAATTTTTCCCTCTGAATTAAAAACAATACTAATAAATAAGAAATTATTAAATTTGAAAAAAAAATATTGGAAATTGTAATATTTGTTAAAAACTTTTATAGCTCAAATTCAAATTTTTCCCTCTGAATTAAAATAAATAAAAAATAATTTTTCATTGTACAAACTATTATTACCTTGTATGAGTCGAGATTCTAACTTTTTGACTATTTAACATGATAGATATTATGGAGCTTACATATGAAACTTCAGCTCTCATTTTGATGTAAATGATAAATATTGAAACAAATCCTAAGAAGAAAAATAAGATACTGGTATGTGAAATATTGACTTCTGGCATACAAAGACACAATAAACTGCACTGTCAGCTTTGTAATTCATAGTTCTTATGATTGCCAACCAAATCATACTGGTTTAAATGGGAAAATTAAAGAGATTTAGCTCTTTATAAGTATTTTCATGTGTAATAGGGAGGGGGGGGGGTTTGGCTGGGGAGGGGGGCACACTTCAAATTCAGAGATAGATGTAGTGAATATGCAGGTGAATCTAAAACATGGTTGTAGGTGTGTGAATATTAACTGCTGGTGTGTCAATATTAGATGCAGGTGTCTGAATATTAGATGCAGGTGTCAGTATATTAACTGCAGGTGCCTGAATATTAAAGTTTCTTATTTTGTGGCAGTATTTTACAGAGCGATGTACATATTAAAACAAAACCTCAAACATACTTCCACTCTGCAAGACTTTCATTATCTCTCAAATCTTGTTTGATACAAAATTGAATATGACTTGGTTTGAGATCCTGCATACATATTATATACAAATTGAAGTTATAAATTTAACGACTGGAATGAACTGGAGGAGGACAAAGGAGATGATGAGAAATCAATGCTGGACCACTAAATTCCCTATAATACTATGCCTTAATCAGAAAGAACAATCTTTTTACTTAGATCTGGTTTGTACATGTGGAGAAACCATTTTGCCAGCACTTTAAGGCATATATGGTCAATTCCGATGGTCCTTTAAAAACCTTTAATATGTCAATACAGGTTTCAAAACCATTCCTATAAGGAAGGCAGGTGTGGGTGGAGTCCGGCCTATAAGGAACTCTACATCAGCTGTAGGTGGAGTCCTGCCTATAAGGAACTAAATATTGTCTATAAGTAAAATCCTTCCTATAAAGAACTCAATACCAGCTGTAGGTGGAATCCTTCCTATAAGGAACTCTACATCAGCTGTAGGTGGAATCCTTCCTATAAGGAACTCTACATCAGCTGTAGGTGGAATCCTTCCTATAAAGAACTCAATACCAGCTGTAGTCCAATCCTCCCTATAAGGAACTTGATACAGCTGTAGGTGGAATCCTCCTTATAAGGAACTCTACATTAGCTGTATGTGGAATCCTTCCTATAAGGAACTCAATACAGCTGTAGGTGGAATCCTTCAATAAGTAACTCAATACAGCTGTAGGTGGAATCCTCCCTATAAGGAACTCAATACAGCTGTAGGTGGAATCCTTCTTATAAGGAACTCTACATCAGCTGTAGGTGGAATCCTTCCTATAAGGAACTCAATACAGCTGTAGGTGGAATCCTACCTATAAGGAACTCAATACAGCTGTAGGTGGAATTCTTCCTATAAGGAACTCAATACAGCTGTACGTGGAATTCTTCCTATAAGGAACTCAATACAGCTGTAGGTGGAATCCTTCAATAAGTAACTCAATACAGCTGTAGGTGGAATCCTCCCTATAAGGAACTCAATACAGCTGTAGGTGGAATCCTTCTTATAAGGAACTCTACATCAGCTGTAGGTGGAATCCTTCCTATAAGGAACTCAATACAGCTGTTGTAGGTGGAATCCTTCCTATAAGGAACTCAATACAGCTGTAGGTGGAATCCTCCCTATAAGGAACTCAATACAGCTGTAGGTGGAATCCTTCCTTTAAGGAACTCTACATCAGCTGTAGGTGGAATCCTTCCTATAAGGAACTCAATACAGCTGTAGGTGGAATCATTCCTATAAGGAACTCAATACAGCTGTAGGTGGAATCCTTCCTTTAAGGAACTCTACATCAGCTGTAGGTGGAATCCTTCCTATAAGGAACTCAATACAGCTGTAGGTGGAATCATTCCTATAAGGAACTCAATACAGCTGTAGGTGGAATCCTACCTATAAGGAACTCAATACAGCTGTAGGTGGAATCCTACCTATAAGGAACCCAATACAGATGTACGTGGAATCATCCCTATAAGGAACTCCATACAGCTGTAGGTGGAATACTTCCTATAAGGAACTCTACATCAGCTGTAGGTGGAATCCTTCCTATAAGGAACTCAATACAGCTGTAGGTGGAATCCTACCTATAAGGAACTCAATACAGCTGTAGGTGGAATTCTTCCTATAAGGAACTCAATACAGCTGTACGTGGAATTCTTCCTATAAGGAACTCAATACAGCTGTAGGTGGAATCCTTCCTATAAGGAACTCGATACAGCTGTAGGTGGAATCCTTCCTATAAGGAACTCGATACAGCTGTACGTGGAATCCTTCCTATAAGGAACTCAAAACAGCTGTACGTTTAATCCTTCCTATACGGAACTTGATACAGCTGTAGGTGGAATCCTCCCTATCTTCTATAGCCACTACAACTTCATGCGTGACATCAATTGAATTTTAAGAATGTGAATTTCTCTCTTCAGCAAATAAATTCATTTGTTTCTCTAAACATATTGTAATTGAAATTTCGTTTTCCACATTTATCCTGAAAAAATCATCAATTTACTGCATATGAGGAGGAGTAATAATAATTAATACTAAAACAAATTGATTTCCAGGAGGAAGAGATCGGGTGTGATTCACTCAAGTGGTATTTTTAAAATTTAGAACATATCTAATCTGAAAATCAATCAGATTCATCGGCCTTGTTTCTCTCATGTACTTTAGAAAGATAACTGTAAAGATTAAATTGATAAAGGGAGGTAATAAACATGCATAAAAGGGGGAAAATGGCCCTGAACTTCCAATATTAAATGTGACTGTTTACAAAACAGAGTGAACACAACCACAAATGACATTCTTCTGGCCTAACAATCTAAGGAATCCAGCTTCTGATGTCAAATGGCCATGAATCCAGTGATTCAATGGATTCTACAACGACAGGCCATCTCGGATATTTCTGTTGTTGTAGCTAAAGGTCATCCAACCAAATTAACTATGTTATATCACAGACAAACATGGTTATTACCATGACAACCAAATAACTTAACACATCACATGACTGCACATTGTCCATCCTGTGTTCCAGGTAACTTAGGCATTCCATTCTCGTCAAAATCAAGCCCTGGTGCCTGTAACCGAAAAACTACTACAGTGAATACTTTACGAATACAACATCAATTTATACCCAAAACACTCTAAACTATGCATTAGAATATTTCTTAAACAATTGGTCTTGAAAATGAATGCTTAAGATTTAAGAAATAAATATTATGAACAACAAGTTAGATATATAAAAGGGATCTTGGTGCCCACCATTGTTTAATCATTACTTGGTCTATGATTTTAAGAATAGTTCTATGAACCTTGACAGAATGCGTAAGAAACACATTAAAAACTGATGTTCTGATTGGTCAGATATTTGTATTTCTGTGTTAGAACATCTTACCATGTCACCAACTATGTCTTTCGGAGGCTGACCCAATTCTTGCATCTATCAAAAGAAAAGTGTTGAAGACATTACAGAAATTCCACACGAGTCGTTACGGTTATGCTAAAACATGATCCTGATTTCATCATGATATCAAAATACAACAACATAACATCTAGATCTTGATCAATAAGATAACGATATATTGAAATGTTGGCTTCATCGATCATTCAGTATCTTTTCAATCCAATGTCTACCTGACCACAGAGATTACCTTGAGACAGAACTTCTTGACCTTGTGACCAAAGCAGTCTTTACATCCTCAGAATTCACAAACACAATTACCTTTTGCATTTTATCTACGATCCTCTCAAATCTCAGCTTTTTCACTTCCTCCGTTTCTGAATCTTTCTCTTTTTCAAACTCCTCACATATGTCCTGTATGATAGCTAGTTGACTCTGGTATTTGTCTAGCTGTGTTTTTTCTGTTTTTTCTTGGTTTTCCTCTAACCATTTCGGATACTGAAGTCAAAAACAAACCAGAATATATCCATTAATTGCCACAGAATACAGTAAAACTTTGGTTTGATTGTCCAAATTTTACAGTTTAAACTCAAACTTTGATGTTTTGAAGTTCAAAGGACCATAAAAAAACTGATATATCAAGAATTTGAAAAATTGAAAAGTAAGGCAGGATTTTAGCTGTTGGGACTTCTGGTAATTATTTTGTCAGAATGGAGAGAATTTTGGATAAAAGAGAAGCTGGTTTACCTGTTTATTACACAGGCCTACCTAATTATTCTCCAGCAATTTTTTATATACATCTCCTGTTTAAAGAATTTTACTTGATATGACCTGTTGTGATGTCAGTGTTACACTTACTTCCTGTCATGTTTATTTCAGGGACTTAGGAAGTCTTATTCCTACTTTCTGCTAAAAGATTCAATAGTTTTATTTTTTGAGAAATTTTTTGAGGGATGAATATAGAACATCTTCAACAAGAAAGTTGAACCTACACTCTGTGATACAAGTATTTCTTTGATGGACAGAGAAATGAAAATTTCCGTGAGAATGTCACATTCAAGCCAATTCTTTAAGGGACAGATAAAAGACATTCGCAGTGAGAAAGATATATCTGCTTTCTAGAACAAATGTTTGAGGGAGAGACTCTCGTTAAAAAATGTTATGACTTTCTGGAACACTTCTTTCCAGGAAAGCCTCAGAAAATCCTTGATCATATTACTATACTTAATAACTTTCTAAGGTGGAACGGGTCAGCATCATCTATGAAAAAATATACCTTCTACCAGTGATATTTGTTTCAGGGATAGAACCTCCTCATCAAGGATATTAAACCTACTTTCTGTGACATTTCTTTGAGGGACGGATAAAGAACATCTTTTGACAGTAAGTTTTTCATCATGCCTTGCATCATCGGCATGAACCCGTCTTGTCCTTCTTCCAGTCCCATACTAGTGAAAGCTTTCATCAGTTCCTCTTCTGACATTTCATCCTACAACACACAGATTTGTCATACTTATAGATTTCGTCTACATAGATTGATGCTACACGAAAACTTCTATCTCATAGCAAGACTCCAGGTTTTGTTTACAGCTGTTCCAGCAGAAAATTAATCTCATCCCAAGGCTTTAGGTTTTCTTTAAGGCTATTCCAGTAAAACATCTATTGCACCACAGGACTCTAGGGTTTGTTTATAGCTGTTACAGTAAAACATCTATCTCACCCCAGGACTCCAGGGTTTGTTTAGGGCTATTCCAGTAAAACATCTATCCCACCCCAGGACTCCAGGGTTTGTTTAAGGCTATTCCAGTAAAACATCTATCCCACCCCAGGACTCTAGGGTTTGTTTATAGCTGTTACAGTAAAACATCTATCCCACCCCAGGACTCCAGGTGTTGTTTAGGGCTATTTCAGTCAAACATCTATTCCACCCCAGGACTCCAGGTGTTGTTTAGGGCTATTTCAGTCAAACATCTATCCCATCAAAGGACTCCAGGTTTTGTTAAGGGTTATTCCAGTAAAATATCTATCACACCACAGGATGTCTGTTTTTTTCATGGAGCACCATTCCAAAAAAATATCTACATATATCATATAGGTAATTTTCACAGAAGAAATTGACAAGAGCATTCATTTTGAAATCCTGAGGTTGAGTAGATTTTTTACTTCTAAAGCATTATCCTTTGTTAGATGTTACTGTTTTTGCTTCGTGAAATAAACATCCATTCAAACATGTAATAAGTAGAAAGTAGAAAAAAATGTCTTTGGATGCCAAATTTGGGAGACCTATGAAATTAAACAGTAACCTAATGTGAAATTACATTTACCGCTTTCTGAAACTTACCCCTAAACCCTCCGAGTTCTGGGCCAGACTAGACAGTGTTTGTGACAGTGTGTTTGCAAATTCTTTTTGTGCCTCAGCTGAGTCTCCTGCAATATGAATGCCCACAAGTGAGAAAATATGTCAATATTTGGTTCTACATGGATAGATCATATCAGACTCCAGGGTGTGGCTTTTTAATTAGCTATTACATAACCACCAAAAATAAATCTCCACATCTCAAAAAGAAAATTAAAGAATAATTTTATTTTGATTCAATTGTCATTTGCAAACATAGCATGTTGTTAACATGAAAAAAATTATTTTAGTAGAAAGGTTATGCATAAAATCAAAATTCTACTGAAAGTTAATTCTGATCTTGATAAAATGAAGTCAAAATGGAATAATTAATTCTAAATTGTTTCCACATAAAATATAAGGAAATACTGGATTCCTCTTTTTCTTCGTAACTTTATCTTGACACAAAATTTGCAATTTAAACATGTCATTGGACAAAAGGTTGAGAAACAGATTTCATTTGAAGCCATAAACTCACTTTGAAAACAAAGAGAAAAAAAACGATGAAAACTAAGACTTAATGTCATAATACTTTTGACAGTTATTATGAAAAGTAGCAAGCCCAGATGGCTAACACATTACAAGGTCAGTCAGTGAACTGATTGCATGACAATTAAGTATTAAGTGTTGCAGGGAAAAGGATACACAAAGGTTGGTTTATTGCCAAACATGGACTTTTATAACTTAGTCACCTGCACTGTTGGCAGACTCTGCTAATTTTTCTATCTGCTGCATCAAGCCTGGTTCATTGCCCATGATGTTCTTCATAGCATCCTCAAACTGCTTTGCCATCTCATCCGAGAATTCCTCAGCGAACAGTTCAGACATCGGATCAGTCTTTTCCTCAGAGGATTTAGCTTCCTAGGACATATAATAATCATCATTTAAACAATGAACAGACTTGCATGCATTTTATAGTTGATATAAATGACACTGCCATTCAAGCAAATACCTTATTGTGTATTAGGGTGTCAGGGTATGTCTGCAATGCTAGGTCATTTACTTATAAATATACACGTATAGAAATTATCTAATAACTTCTTCATGATAATTCAGTCATTTACATGTTAGTGGCTGAAATGGTCGGACCAGGGGAACCTGCAAGAAAACAGCTAGGCAGATTGTGGACTGAGGTATATCTGGTAACTGCAGTTTATGATGCCACCCATACCTGCCTGAAACTAATTGGTAGATAATTGCTAAGTCTCAGAACACAGGACTCGGGTCATTATACTTTTGAATATGTTATTACATTCATGGTTAAACATTTTACCCACAACAGAAAATTTAAAAACTGTTCAATATTAGTTTTACATATAATATTTTCAACACCTTGTACAAGAGCCTTTTATTTATCATGAAATACTTCCTTTGCTGTCTGAACTGTTTCTACATTTGGAAAATTTTTATTCTACCTCAAAAAATTTGATTGTTAAAATACATTATGACACTATTTCTTGTTCTAGCCTCCATCTTGATCCTGAAACCTACCCCACTGGGTGTTACACCTCCACTCTTTCCCATCACTACTGTTGGCTTTTCTACAGGAACTGGTTTTTCAAAGTCCTCTAGTGCACCTATAAAATAATAAATTACATGCATCTATATTCTTATCAGACATGAATACCTAGGTAAACCACAATCTGATCAGGTGTAGAACTTGATGTGATACAATGGGTTAACTTATAAACCGATCCAAATCTGTTGAGAGGTTAGTTCTCCATTGATTTAGAATGGGATGGTATGGACATACAAAATACAAAAATACAAAATTGATTCCCTTTCACCTAAGAATGCTTCTCACCAAATTTGTTTAAAATCCACTCAGCTGTTCATGGCTACTGGTAGTAGCAATTTGTTCTAAAAAATGACAGATGACTGCTGCCTGTGTTATGACATAAGCTCATCAGGCCTTTCAGCAGGTGAGCCAAAAATAAGTCCTTTTTTCTTTTGAGAAATAATATCTGAATATAAAATTGTTATTTTTTGGATTGGTTATCAGAAATTTTTTATATTCACTGGTGTGTTACATATACAATGACTATCTATAAATCTGCACACTTTTCCCTGACTTTTCCCTACACACAAACTACTCATTATCAAGTTGTTCCTTTTCCATTAATACCATGACCAAGCCAGTAAGAATCAAGTTTGCTTAATTTAGAAAAAATCTGGGGCAAAGGTCATTGGGGATCCAATCTGAATTATTCTGACATTTGTAACAGAAGTAGAAAATGCACAGACAGACCAGGGTTTGAACCTGGGATCCTCTGAACTCTAGATGGACACTCTGCCTGTAGTGTGGGAGAACGGTGACGCTACCTATACAAACAAGGGAGAAAATCACGTACAATATTTACAATTTATTTACACCAATATACATTTTCCTGTACCCTTCTCTTGACCACACACACATTTACACTCCTCCTGATGAAATTTCTCACACAAATGAATATTTACAATGCGAATTTAAAGAAAATACTATTACTAGAGTTCATTATGCCCGGCTGTCGAGTAAGAACACAGACAGAAAAGTTCATCTATCGTGTAATCATTGTCGTCATCGTTTTCATGGCTACCTATGTGCTTCACCCCGCATGTGTAGTAAGAGTTCAACACTTCAACACGACGTAATGATGTTTATGATGTCATAGTATCAAGTTATATATCGCTGCCCTGCTCAGGATCGTCACCAACGACATCATTTAGAATTGTCATAACTGCTTCATCAGATGATGGAAAGTCAACACAGGATACTGAGGCCCCAGCCCTCAGGCCCCAAGATCTCTTGACTCCTGCATGTGTTGGGTGCATTGTGGTAGGCAGTCCGGCGAGATCCTCACTGTACCGTGGAACCAATATAGTCTCTCATGACGTATGCTGGTTGTTTTATCCACAACATGGTAAGCCCGTTCCAACGAAGGTCATACCCCCAACGTATAAACCAGACATCCTGTTTCTGAGTAGTTTCTGGCGCAAACAATGTCTGGTTCTCAGCCTGTAAATCTGACACGTCTAACCGCTTCAATGGTCTTTGACTGTATGTCAAATACCTACCCGGCGGTGCTTAACTTCATGGTCGGGATATAAAAATATCCGGAAATTAATCAAAATACCAATAAAATATGTGCCTATGAAATATGAATCATAACACTGCCCATAGAGCCACCTGGTAGCCAGGTCAGTTCCCCTACATTTCTCCTTCCTTTTTCCAAAGCTTTCCCCTGAAGACACATTTACATGTGTATTTACAACCCAGGAGCAGGTGTTCTCTTTTGAAGCATTTATCTACTTGAAATGAGGCTTAGTCATAGGTACTAGGTTGTAACAGAAGCAGAAAAAAATGCACAACCCTATGGGGTTTGAACCTGGGACCCTCCAAACTCTACATTCTACTGGTTGTGCTACCTGGTTGCCAATAATCACGGCATTCCAGTTCCACTACAGTTTTATCAGATTGTTGTTCATACAGCTGAAAACATTCATAACATATCTCTTCGATGTTTACACAACAATCATTGAAATCATTCAGATTAAAACACAAAACAGTGTTTGAGCACTGGTTGAGTAACCTCTAAGTTAATGTTTAATTATAATGAATTGAAACTGCTGTTTTTTCCATAATTTCTAGTTAGTGTTGTTGAATGTTTCAACAATTCAATGCGTTCATCTCTCATTTCCTGAAAATAAACATAATGAAGAACCCAGTGCAGTGAATGGAGTATTTACCCTAACCTGGAAAAGATTTTCTTGTATTCTAAAGATTATATATTTATCTCTAATTTTTTTCATTCATTTCTTTTAATTTTTATTATTATGTATTCCGGCGTTGCGGAGAAAATTTTGTTGACTGCTGCATATTAGGGATGGATAGGTATTTGGGGTAGATTGGTTATGTTGTGGGGAGGAATCTCACATAGAGTTGAATAACCTCTGGTTGTGATAGCAGGTAATTTAACTGCCACTAGGTATTGAGATGAGATCCTCCGACACCATGTTGTCCCATTATTACATCAAAACAACCTCACATTCCAGCTCAGTCCCATGTAGCGAGGAACTGTCACAACTTTCTCACTTACAATAATATCCATCCACTAAACTTGCTGCCATATGGCCTGACGTGTTCCCTATTGAGTACTTGTTGCACCAGCTGGATACACAGGTTGGACAGTGCCAGTCTCCCCTGTTACTCTTGCCCAACTGAAAGCAGTCCTCTTGGAAAAATGGAACAACCTCCCAATGGGGAGGATAAACTCATTCATGAACTCCGTGCCCAGGAGAATCAGTGCTGTGGAGAGAGCAAATGGGGGATATACCTGGTATTTACTAGCCAGCTCCCACAATCAGTCCATTTCGATTTCAGAGTTCTCTTTCAATTCCCTTCAATTACTCCTAAATCACTTCTCAGATACAAAACGTTGATTTTGTATTTTGTTCTGACTTAATGATATTGAATATTATACTCGACGTCTTGCCTAGAATCATATTCAAAGTTTACCATGCGTTTCTTTATCCCTTGAGTATATTTATTCGTCTGCTTACGCTGGAATACTTTCGTACAACCTGCATGAAAATAAATAGCGAGCGCTACCTACGCTTACCAGTAAGATAACTCGTCATATTGAAATAAGACGTAGAAACGGTGTGCTCTGGATCAGAGACAAGGGTTATGTTTCAAAGCAGTAAATAAATAAGTTACAGGTTAGGAATACGACTGGGGCCAAAGGCCGATAAGATGAACTACACGAGATCATAATACGACAACACTTACTGTCTAAGAGGTCGTCTAACTCTTTATCTACTCCATTTCCATCTGCTGCTTTCGCGTCTGTATTTTTGAGTACATCTCCTCCATTCTCAATTGTCTTCTTCACAGATTCATTAACTTCAACATTCGTCGTAGGAGTTTGTTCAGCCATCACGCCTTCATGAGTTGTCGCTTATAACTCTATAAATAAGTCGCTTGAAGCATACAGAATATATTCTCGCCACTGAATTCGCCATTGAAATCGTTAAGTTGGTTAATTCTATACAAATTTTGGTCGACTTTTTTTGTTTAGTTGTCTGGAAGAAATAAATAGCATTCAAATCAATTTTATAAAAAAAAATAAGTAATGTGAAAAAACGGAACGTAGGGAGGAAAGCACGAACTCAGCACGTTGTTCATCCATTCGGTTTTCTCAGGTTTTCCCATCTAGCTAGTGTATAATATGTAGATGTCCTTGACATTACGTTCAGGTAGTCTCGGATGTTTTCCTTCAAGTATTACATAATGGATAAATATTAGAGAGTATTGCTTTGGGAGATGCTGTCATGTAGGAATTCGTTTGCTTCCCCACACGTGTGTTCGGTGGGAGGTGTGTACAGAAGAAGAATGAACATGATATTTTTTCATGATTTCTAAACCAGTGTCACAGGGAGAAAGAAAATGGCAAGTCCATACACGGACTCGTCATCAGATGGCGAGTTCAATAATGAGAATGCTGAAGATCTGTCGTACGGAAATCTGACGTCGTTACCAGATTTTCTATTTGAGAAAGCTAAAGATATAAGAGCATTGAGACTTAACCAGAATGAAATCAACATCTTACCTCGAACTATTAAACAGTTTTCTAATCTGATCACCCTGGATTTGAGTAACAATAATCTTAGTTACTTGAGTGATGAGATAGTACAATTGCGACACCTCAGGACATTTATTGCCAAAAACAACCGCATAAAATCAGGAAACATTCCAAAAGACTTTGGTCGAATCTCTAGTCTAGAAGTGTTGAACTGCAGTGGGAACGAAATGAAGGAATTTCCTCTTCAGTTTACAGAACTATTTCGTCTGCGGAATCTTCATTTAGGAGGAAACAGTATTACGGATGTGCCAAATAGCATTAAAAATCTTACAAGGTAAAGGAACATAATAGGTCATTTTTATTTATGTTTTATTATACCCAATATTGTTGGTCCCTCATTGTGTTCTTTCATTACCGATGGTCCCATTAGGCAGATAATTATGAAGATTGATGGTCCCTATAGACAAGTGTTCTGTCATGAGTGATGGTCCGTTTAGACAGGTGATTACGAAGACTGATGGTCCCTATAGACAGGTGATCTATGATGACTGATGGTTTCATTCGACAGGTGTTCTGTCATGACTGATGATCCAATTATACAGGTGATTATGAAGACTGATTGATCTTAACAACGGGTCCTCGGTTGGTCCCTATAGACAGGTGTTCTCTCATTACAAATGATCCTTATAACAGGTGTTCTATCACAACTGATAGTCCGAAAAGACATGTTTTGTATATATGTTCCGATGGCCTCTAGGATTACATGTTCACATATATGTAACAGAGGTCATTATTTATTTCAATGCCTCCACCCCCTGGCGTACTAGTCTGACGCTCAACCAATGGAGCTAAAGTGAAGTTCTCTCAAGCCGAGTGGTATTTTGCGGAGAGTATTTTACCAGGGTTACATATATGTTCTGTGATTTCGGGGAAGAGATCACTTGTTTTAAAAAACATTTGTCTTTCAGAAAGATACAAGGGATGACATAGAGAGATGATGGGTGTCTTTTCATTTAGTACCCTGGACCTCCCAAGTTTTCACCTGAAAAAGTAAAAAAATGTTTTAGTGTAATATTAATTGACTACCATTACATATAGTTAACCAGTTTTTACTGGTTGTTTGACATCACAGAGGTCAGTGTTGACACTGGCAGATTTTATTTGACCTTGACCTTAAGTATGTTTACTATACAAGTTGTTATGATGATAAGCACACTGTTTTTTAGGGCATCTAAGCTAAGATTTAATACTCCCTTAAGGATTTCAAAATTATTGTGGTTCAAAAATTCAAATAAATTTGTATTACATCTTTATGAAAATTGTCAATAATGTTGAAGAAATGAGTTAAAGTGTCAATTTTGAGTTTGAAGGTCCCAGGTTTGGGTTCCAAAAGTAACTAGAAGTACAATTTAACCACAAATTTGGAGTAGATGCTGAAATTATCTTCATTTCCTGGGAAGTTTCAGAGGCTAAATTGATGTTATTTGAACAGATCACATAAATTATAACTTTCAAGAAATATAGCAGCATATAAATACCTGTATCCTGTACTGAGGAGATGATAATCAGATATAAGGAATTATCTATTCGTTTACCTCATCTAATGTGATGATGTGATGATCTGTTGTAATTTTTCATAATCGATCATCATTACCTTAATATTTTTCTGTGTTTTAGAAAAAACTTAATTTATATCATGCATAATAAAAAAGCCAATTGCCAATAACATTCATTCATTCAAATTCTAGGTAAGTGAGGTAATTCAGATTATACTTAGAAAAAAGTCACTGCAACAGAGGATTGTGTTTCTCAGAATATTGAAGTCACAGTAAATCAATTATGTAATTGATTAAATACATCTAAAAGCCTTTCTGATTTTACCGATAACCAGTTACAAATTATATTTGATTAACCATGACTAATATCGTGTAGTTATATATATTATATAATAAATACCCCTGCAAATTGAAATTTAATTCTAATTTCAGGGCATTCCGTGACGTTTAATGGTAATTTAAGAAGTTAAATAACTGATCTAAAGGATTAAAATGAAATACATATTGTCCCTCTAAACTCCAGAATCAGAATCAAAACCATCCGAGTAAACTGATTACTGTTAAAGTTGAATTGTCCGTCGTCACGCATCAGCAGCGTCCGTACAAAAGTTTTCTGGACTTTTTTCGGTTATGCTTTGAGTTATCAAAATGAAATTTAGTATATGGCTTCATGTTTGAAGGGTACAGATTAAGTTCGATTTTCGGCTGTCTGTGGCCCTTCTTGGCAGAGTAATGCCCCTTTGAACTTAGAAAATTCTCTGGGAATATTGTTATCCGGACTTTTTTAGGTTATCCTTTAAGTTATTGAAATGAAATTTGGTATATGGCTTCTTGTTGGAACGGTACAGATTAGTTTTGACATCCTGTTCGATTTCTGGGTGACCGTGACAATTTATTCAGGCGACACAGTTCCGAGGAACTCTTGTTAATTAGATTACATGAATATGATTAATCAACTGATACTTAAAGCAACACAGTGTTGTACACTACATCCAGTGTTTTGATATCAACATATTTATATCAGTTGTTGATTGTCTTGTAATAAGCCCACCCTCTAACTGTGGGTTAGAACTTTTATATTGGAGTTGAGAGTACTTATTGTAGGAAAAAATAGATACAACTTCAGTATGGCAGATGCTGATGTGGCAATATTTATAGGTTATCAATAGAGATATATCATACTCCCTAGACCATTGTACATATTAAGTTGATTTTTAAATGTTGACAACCTGTCACCAGATTTGTGAAAATTTTTTATCAGATTTCTGGATAGTAACATGTGTGTGTTATTGGATTTTTGTATATATTGTACTCAAAAACCTATACGTTACACATATGCAGGGTTTTCCATAAGAGCCGGTCGCCGGCGAATTTGACCATCTACTTTGATCATTTGGCCGCCTACACCAGTCCAGTTCCGTAATAATGTTCCGTACACGACTACACGTACACGGCAGGCCAGCCTCCTACTTTCACTACACAGCCTACTACTAACAAAATTATGGAAAACCCTGTATATGCCTAGAAATAACACAATTTAGCTGCAGATTTACCATTGGCTTGATCAGAGCTGTAATTTAGCATTGCATAACTACAGCCACGGCCTTATATCAGTCTTAATCAATCATAAAATTGTCCCTTTTGAATACATACTATAACTATCTTGTTAAATATGCAAACCTGGATTGAAGTCTTTCATTAACTTGATTAAAAGTCAATACGGTAAAATCATTTATTTTCATCGAGCTCAAATTTCAAGATTTTACGAGAATGTTCATTTGCCTTGGCACTTGAATTCATTGATAAATCTTGATCACAATGTTAAATCAGCTTGTACGTTATCATTAAAGTTTCATATGTTCAATCATATCATGGGTGTCAATTTGTGGATTAAAAGAAACCACAAATTTCATGAAATTAACATTTACAAAAATGAATGGTTATACAGTAACTGTGGGAGGTAGGCATATCACCAAGCATTGAAAAACATGCAATTTTGTAGGTTGCTGATTGTACTAAAGAGAAGTAGATATATGGAACATATGCCTGGGCTTATATCCAGACATATGACTTATTATCAGCTGAAGAACTACATTATTATATCTATCTAAAAATTACATCTGTATCACATCAATCAACTCTCTACTTTGAGATTGAGTGATTTTTTGTTTCTGGTGTTAAATATAGTCATTAGTTTGTTGTTCAATATGGAAGAATCAGGATTCAGGTGTTTTATTTGTTTAAATTCAGGTTATGTTTGTGCTAAGAACAGTATTTACAATTATTAAACAAAGATCTAAAGAAGTACACCAAAAATAACTACCTTATTAGCATTGTCCAATAGAATACTGTTGTTACATTTGTATGGTTTGTGTGTTACAGATTGGAAGTGTTGTACCTAGGAGGGAACAAGCTAACAGATATACCGGCTGAGGTGGGAGACCTATGTAGTCTTACCTCCTTAACACTGTGTGATAATCAGCTGCAAAGTCTTCCACCGACCATGATCAATCTAGGTCGCCTTCAGTCTCTAAGTCTCCATAACAACAACCTCTCCACACTGCCTCAGGAAATTGTGTCTTTGAACTTGGTAGAGCTGAGTCTGCGAAACAATCCCTTGGTGGTAAAGTTTGTACAGGACATGGAAGATTCTCCACCATCCCTGATCGAATTGTCAGGCCGGGTGGTAAAGATTGAAAAAATTCAGTATAGTGAAGGTGATCTTCCTCATGATCTCATCAAATATCTACAGTCAGCACGCAGGTGTGTCAACACTCGGTGTAAAGGTATGGTACAATAACATTTCTAATAAGAATTTGTTACCTGTGTGTGTTAAATAAATCAATCTCCATCATATACAGGTGATTAATTCTATTTGTGTACCAGGTAAATAATTTTGTTGAAATTGCATAAAATTTTCTAGTTGAAGGTTTTACTTCTGTTTTCATTTAATACATCAGGAAGAAAAACAGATATGATGTCATATCAGTTATGACGTAACTTGGGGCAAAATGTTGGTGCATTTTAATTTCTTTTTAATGTGAATGTACAAATGTAGTTGATTAAGATATACATGTATATAATTGGGTAAGACAACAAATTACTGTGTTAAGGTAGCAGCTAGATCAGACTGAGACAAAAAAATTTAGCACCCGTCTATTATGTATAATTAATGATTTAACGTATGAATCAAGATTTGAGGGATTGTCCAACAACTCTTCCTTTAGATTTCATCAGCATTTCCTTGTAATATCAAATTTTCTCTTTCCATAACCTTGTATTAGTGAAAACATTAAAGTATTTCAGACCTAGCGATACTCTTCATAAATCTTTAATATCTTTTCGAAATGTTTGTTAGAAAACATACCTACTTTGTTTGCATTTTCGTCAAACTGTCAAATTTGAAACATGTTGTGAAGTAGCTTTTGACGAAAAAAAAAACAAAAAAAAAAAAACAAAAAAAAAAAACAAAAATAGAAACTTGAAGTAGAATTTACACAGAAATCAAACTGCAGGAGGTGATTAATTGTTCGTTTTGTTTTATTTAGATTGTTCAGCATTTCATGTTGTTTTTGACAGGTGTGTACTTCTCTTCCTGTGTAGAACACGTAAAGTTCGTGGACTTCTGTGGTAAATACCGCCTTCCTTTACTGCAGTATCTGTGTTCTCCAAGATGTTGTGATGGACCTGCTATGTATCCCAACAACAGTGAATCTGATACGGACGATGAGGACGCAGCTCGTGCAAGGCTGCGTCGGGTTCTCCTCGGCTGAAACAGCTGACAGATTTACCTGTAAATAATGTACATTATTTTATTTGTTAAAACTTCATTATTTGTTGTGCAAAGATACAGTTGGTATGACGACCTTGACATCTTCTCTTCATATTGAACGTTTTTATCTTCAGTCAAGATGATATTGGACCGACTTTTTATAAATTTTTCGTTTTTATTATGAATATTAACTTTAATAGTACATTAAAGTTAAGGGTTAATATCATTCACAACATACATGTTTTACTTTGTGTACACCACATTTATTGTGATGGTAAAAAGAAATGTCGGATTTATCACAGTGAAAACTTTTTTGCATACCAGTTCACTTGTAGACTGAATTACCGTCTGTATAGACTGACCATTTCAATTGTATGGCAACTGATGAAAAAAAAAATATATATACATGTATGTCTTTTCTTTTTGGGTGAAGACATTTTTTTTTATTGCCAAAATTACTGACTCTGAATTTTTACAAGTTTTTTTTAAACAAAGACAGTAAAGTCATGATTTCTTTGGATAACAATGTAAAACCTGTTGTAAAAATTAATAAATGCCTACCGCCTTTAAGCATTCTCGTGAGCCAGGGTTGTTCAGTATGGTTCTCTTATTTCCAAAGATCATAAGTCACCTATCATAACCTCTGGAATATCAGGGATGTAATTGACCAACATTATTGTTCTCTAAGATTCGAAATGCAGGCATTTTCAGTTATCTGTAACAGCATTGTTTGGCAACTCTGAACATGAATCTACTATGGATGATTAAAGTGGTGTTAGAATTAGGTGCTAAGTGCTTTTCATGTTTTAGTTATTAGGCCACAGTTGTTCAAAGCTTGGTTAGAATTAAGTTATGGTAAGCAAATTTGAAAATAAGTTAAATTATCAACACTGAAAAAAGACAGACTTTTAAAGCAAAATTATCACTCAGGATATCAAGCCTTCAGCTGTGAAATTGTAAAGTACTAATTTTGTTTAATTCATGGTGGAAAATTTTCACTTAACACATACTGGTTCACCTCAACCAAGCTTTGAACAACTGGAGCCTGCTTTTCTTAAGGCATTCTCTTGTATATTGTTATGTTTTGTTATTATGACTCTGAAGAAAGCAGTCTAATTTTTTGTGCTTTTTCAGAGAAATGTTTGGATAAGGTGCTGGACATATGTTGATGGTGTTACTTTAATCATTTTCATATCTTGACTTTTGTTATAACCTCATCAGTCTTTGCTCTTTGTTGATTTTTGGATAGATTCATCAATACAAAATCCCTGTTTTTTTTTTTTTTTTTGTTTTTTTTTAATATCTTAGTGATAATGATATGTTTGGTGTTTGTTATTCTGAAGTTGAAATTCATCTTTAAAGGGAGATAACTATATACAGGTAAGGATAATTGAATCAGTTGTAATAACAATATATGATGAACTATTGTGAATATGGATGGGTAATAATATCACATTAGTCAATATATTCTCATATTTGCCTAGTGATGATATATTGCAATATGATACTACAATTTTCAATATCACAGTATATTGCAGCTAATTTCTACAACTGTTTGAGGGATTTTACCAATGATTTTGTAGAGAAGTCTTAATTCAAACCCTGTTTCAACTTGTTTGATGTTTTCTTAAACCTGTGTGGTGTTACATAATTCAAAATGATCTAGTTTGCAGTACATCAGTGCATGAAATTAAGATATAGCTCTTTTAGATACAGTAAACATTTGCTACGAAAATCTTTCAGATATAAAATGTATTGAAACACAATGTATCGTAATATATAGCATTATTCCTTTGAATATTGCTAAATATACTGTGATATGAAAACTGTTGGCCAAACCTACCCTTAATTATGAAACAGTCCCAACTTCTTCTGACATTTGTGTAATGTGAGGTGTTGATCAAGATAAACATCTGGTTTTTGATTAGTGTATATAAAGATGTAAATAAATGTTTGGTTCCTATTGGTCCAATCAGAATTCCAATTTTATCAAATGATGAAAAAACAAAATCTTTATAAATTGTTGCCTTTTAAGTTGTTTCACAAGTGTTTCCATACTTGTAGGAAAAAGCGAAGGATGGGGCGATGACCACCTCAATGGTTTTTTCCTTTGACTTGTAATTGAATCAGACCTAATGCCCATACATGTATACTGTAAGTGCCTCCTCCACCTCTAGCTCCCCTGTTAACTAGTCATCATTTATAATTGTCAAGTGAAACCGGAATATTTTGTTTGGATTACTTTTCTAGAAATACTGAATTTTCTATGTTTTACTTTGCTCATAACATGTAACTAAGACAAATATTTATAATGAATATTTAAAACCGTAGTGATAAGATCAGCTGATTTCTTGTTATAAATACTTGTCTGATTTAGGGCTAGTGAAGTGATGGAAGACATTTATTGTATTATAAACTTCTAAAAATACTGAATTTTCTATGTTTTACTTTGCTCAAGATAACATGTAACTAAGACAAATATTTATAATGAATATTTGAAACCGTAGTGATTAGATCAGCTGACCACTTGTTATAAATACTTGTCTGATTTAGGGCTAGTGAAGTGATGGAAGACATTTATTGTATTATAAACACTGAAATTTACACATTTGGGATTATGTAAAGTATGTTGATGTTAATTGTCCTGTGTAATAGTTATCCATATATGTAAAATGAAAATGACTTTGGGTCATTAACATGAATAGTATTGAAAATGGCAGTTAAGAAACAATAGTAGAAAGGTATAGTGTTTACAAAAATATACCCATTGATAAAATTTTTTACCAAAAGAAAAAGTAAAATAAAGATTTTATTAAGGATATTACATTAGATTTGCAAGTGTTGTAAAATATATTGCATCCTTGATACTGGGAAAGTGATGGTAACCTCTGGGGTATTGAGGATAAACATCTAGTGACTTGGTGAATCAATCTGATTTTTATGTATTGTAGTTTTACTTAACTTTTATTCAAAACAGCATTACTTTCAATACTGCCACCAAGGGTAAGTTACAATTTGTCAACCTGTGTGCTGTGTCATCCAATAATTATCAATTATTATTGACACAAAAGAGTTCCATTTTTTGCTTGTTTGAGTTGAAGTCTTTAGGAAATGAGACAGGTAGCATACAGCTTTAACAGGCCAAAAGAGGAAGAAAACTTCAATTTCTTTCATTAGTTTTGAAAGTGATATTTTTAGCGTACTTGTTCTGTAATGGTGGGTATAACCAGAAGGGCATTGTACATTAAGTACATGTTTGTATGTACTTGTGGTATAAAGTTGTAAATTTACACAAATGTATACCACATAATTGTTATTGAATGTATTTGACTGAAAACATTAAATTTTTAATCAGCTTTTTAAAAATAGTTTTGTTCTATTTTTAATGTCTGTTTAATAATACAAGTCTCCGCCAGCCATTGGTGAGACAGGTAGTTATTCCTCTGTCTGTCATTCCCTCATGATTTAGTTTTTGTTCATTATAAGAGGCCCCAAGGGCCTTTACAGTCATCTGAAATACAGTGCTTCTTGTAACATGGCATAGAAATGATTTTTAGGTCATCTGACCCAAAGGGTCATGATGACATATAACCAGTTTGCTTCTTCCTTCGTGTGCTGTGTGCAAACTTTTGACATTTTAAACTTTTTCTCAACTTCCACCAGTGGGATTGAGCTCAAACGTGCATGAAATGATACAGAGATGGTCCTGACCAAGCGTTGTTATCTTTCAGATATGTCTGAAGTCCAGAATGGCCGCCATCTTGAAAAAACATATTTTAAACTTCTCTGGTTCCACTGGGGCCATTGAACTAAAAATTTATGGGAATGTTATGGAAAGGTAGCCAACAAAGTGTTATTTTTCGACCTTTTCAAAACTTAGATACAGCAGTCTGGAAGGCCATTTTGTAACATGATTGCATAATCATGGTTTTCCTGTGCAACACCTATTTCAAACTTCTCGAGTTTCACCTGTTGGATCGATTTCCGACTTTACTGTCAAAAAACAGGTAGCACTTGTTACATTTATCTACTCCTCATCAAAACTTCCATCTACATCATGGAAAACAGCTTCTTAGTAAGATTTCATTCAATGTAGAAAAAATAACCTCCCTGCTGAAAGTTTTTGTAGTCAGATGACTGCTAAGGCCTATAGGCCAAGAAAATGTTAAGTACACTATACATGTAATGCAAATGTAAACTGTGCATAACTGCTGTTCCATGCTAAGGCTTCTAACCAAGTTTGAATGTAAAAAAATTTCACTCAAGATTTGAATTTTCCTTTTTAAAAATCTTCAATCCACTAACGGTATCTTTGAAATTTCAGTCAATTTGACCCACTTTTGGGCATGCCCAACTGCCCCTGGGGGTCAGTCAAGGTCAACATGTGCATCTCATCAAACAGTATGCTTATACAAACAAAAAACAAATTCTTATAAAGTTTAAACTATTTCTGGAAAAAAAAAATCAAATTATGCTCACAAATGTGATTTTCCTATATAAACTATTGTAAGTTTTACCCCCTCTTCAGAGGGAAATGTGAAACCAAAGGGTCATGAAATTTACAAGTTTGGTAAAGCATCTGAAGGATGTTCCATCCATGAAGAGTAATTGATTCTAACATACCTGGGATTTGAGAAGACTTTTGAAGTTTAAATCAATTTGGCGCTTTCTGGCCCCGCCCCTCCGGCACCTTGGGATTGGAGACCATATAAGTTACAATTTTGGTGCGCCTTAAGCTATGGAAAGTGAAATTTCATTGAAATCAGTTCAGGAATATTTCATAAGAAGTTTAAAATATGAAATGTTTACAAAGCACGACGCCAGACAAAGGAGGATTGCAATAAGAAACTATCACTACATTGTACATTTAATGCAAAAGTAAATTGTGCATAACGTTAACTGGCATCCCATATTAAGGCTTCTTACCACGTTTGAATTAAAAAAATTAATGCTCACAATTGTAATTTTCCTTCATGAACTCTTCATCCATAGTTATTCCTAGAAGTCCAGCCAAATGACACAGGTTACTTATAGCTACGCCACACCATGCCGGACAAAAGGGGATTGTAATAGCTCATGCTAAGACTTTGTCTCGGGTGATCTACAAAATTCTGCCATGTCCTTCAATCTTTGAAATTTCTTCTCCCTAATAAGCAAATGACAAAAGGGATATTACTATAGGTCACCCTGAAACTTTGTCTCTAGTGTTCTAGAAAATTCTGCCATGTCCTTCAATCTTTGAAATTTCTTCTCCCTTATAAACTTAAGTTGAACAGACACAAATCACAATGTTCATGGCACACTATACTTCACAAAAGAAAACAAGTAAAACTATTTTAATGTTTTTCTTCTTTTATTTACAACTGTAGAATTATGACGACATATATGCATCATGGCCATGTTCTCCCTTCCACCCCACATTCAAACATTGGACTGTCCTTTCCTTGGATTGGGACCAGCTCAATACTGAGTGTTGGGTGTGCCAAGGTATCATAAAACATGGTGGTTCCCACTCATGTTGAATTGGTTTTGTTATCTTTTTCAATGCAATGAAAAAAAAAAATAAAAAAAATAATAATAAAAAGTGATTAATTCACTCAGTATATCGTAATATAACCATGTTAAAAAATCACAAGTTTCGTAATGCACGAAATAGCCATTCTTTACAAGTGAATGAATGGCTTATAAGTAAAAAATCGGACTGTTTACAAACATTTAGCTCTATGACCTGTGAGACTACATCACTTTCATGTGCCTTTGTCAAGTTCCATTCTTATATACTGGTATTTGAGATAGCTATAGTGATTTCAAAATTACTACTTCTTTCATAGAGGGAAAATGCACACGAGACTTAAACGTTGGGATCAAAAGACATGAACCATTTAACATTACCACAATGTAACTGGGTACAACTGCATATTTTACACAATGCTGGAATTGGGGTTTCTGCTATCAGTCATGTAAACAGTATGCTTGAAAATGATATTTGTGAGCACTTGTCTATAGTTTAGTAAATTACACATTTCATTAAAACAAAATCACTAGCAGAACACCTTATATTAAGTGCAGATCATTTTGTTCTTTCAATCACCGATTTTCTAGTGTACAGTACTTCTAGCTCCAATAACTTACAATCAATAAAACATGTCAGATTCATTCAAAAATGAAACTGTTTAACAAACATATCCTGGTACATGGTATTTAAAAGGATAAGCCTCTGATAATGCTTACAAACTTGCTTTCGAAAAATTTTTCCCTTTTTTTAAATTTGTGGATGTCTACCGGTAATCGGAAAAATCAGAAGGATGAAGATTTTTCTGCACCGAAAAATAAGCTTCCGATGTTTTATCATTTTCTGTACCCAAAAATGCGCTTCAGATCATTTGTCCTTTGTATGAGCTGGACTATCATTACAAAAGCAGAGGTCATGACATAAGGAGCACATCGTATGGCAAAGGTATGTACAGTGACCAATTAACGACAATCTGACCGTCATCAATGCATCACATACACTCAAAATAAACCTCTTTTATGTAAATTTTACACACATCGATGATGAAACCTGGTCAAGATTCCAGCGATATTCATCCATCCCTTAAAAAATTCATTCAGCAATATGATGTAATGCCACATTCTGTTTGTCGCAAAAAATAAAACACATTCACTTGTTTATAAAACAAACCACATGTAATTGAAAGTGACATGACTACTATCGCTCTACATTGCTACAGACACATACACAATCACTGAATCACATGATCTGTTAGTATGACTAATTGTCACATTGTGACATGGTATAACGAGGATCACGGTACCATCACGCCACCCCCCTTCACCAATCGGACACTGTTAAAAAGCATAAATTGTCACACATACAAAAACTATCACACTTGTGACAGAGTGAATGCTTTATGAAGTGTAACATAAACACATTCAATTGGTTTTGACTGAATTCTTCATGCAAATCATTAACTTTGGAAAATCTCCCTCGCTCATTACACTTGAAGATGGTGTGATTTTATAGCACAGAACCATACACAGACACCAGTAACATTGGCAGTTGCTACAGAGTTAAAATGTACACAATGATGTTTGTTCACGTTTAGTCTGTGTCTGGAATGGTCGTCTTTTGAAAGATAACATGTTACAACTGTCATAAAATAGAAATTGAAAATTCAATTAAAAAAAATAAAGAAAATGAAAATAACAATGCCTCATTAAAATTTACCAAAAATAAAATCATTTCAATTATCCATACAATATTCAAATAAAAGCTGATAATTTCAATTTGGTAGAGTTTTGAAAATCTGTTTCAAATTTTCGGCTATTCAGTTTCTATGTCAATTAATAAAACAATGTATTTCTCTTTACAATGTAATATTGAAATCACTTGAAACTGATTAATGAATATTCAACAGCTGTAAAGCTGGAAATAATATTCAACAAATACAATCTCTTGTCACATGCACGAATAACTCTTCTCCCACCATTTGTATGTCTACAAAATTTGTCATTTTTTCTCAAATGTAAAATATCTTGTGTATATTTCATGTTACAAAGAACGGCAATAAATTTCGTATACCCCTGACTCTCTGAACACATAGATATTTAAAGAATATACAAAAAGAAAAACAATTTTAATGGTGTCTAGAAAAATCAGAATGTCGTCAAATTTGAGTTGGCACTAGATCAATTCATACAGAGTAGAAGTGGAGCAATGAAAATTGATTACAATAATAACCAAAGACAGTTATCTCCTCTTGGTAAAATCTATACATGTACATCTATTTAAAGAAAAGGAACTTTCCAACAAAAAAATCAGGACACTCCTGACCTTGTCTGATTTCCCACTATACTGGCAATATTAAGTATGTATCTTCACATTTTAGGTAACTTTATAAAATTTGAAAAATATTGGTTTGATGTACCTCTACCTGAATATGGTGTTTTGTTCTCGTTATCAATTTTGTTGTAATCAGCTCTATGTAGAAATTTACTATACATAGCAGATAACAATGTTTGCTTTTCCTCTGTGATTTCATCTCCTTTTCAGACAAATAACATCTTGAAATTTCTTGAAAATAAGATCAGCATCGTCCTATATACTTGTCTTGGTTTACTTCAGATAAAAGATATACTGAGTTTAATTGAATAAAATTTCGTAAAAGAAATACTTGTAACTTGTTTCCATAAAATGTATCCAATAAAACAGGTGAGAGTACAATTTTACAAGATTTTACACCATGCGCATAAAATGTACAACTCTTCATTTTCAAATTATTGAGCATGAAAAGGAAACAATTCAGAACTCTACCTTGAAATGACTACTACTATATAAATACAGACTAAATCTTCATGGAGCAAAATTTCTCTCTTCCTTCTCCACTGTATCAGTCTACTTTTATAAATATTTTCATCAGACATAAAGATTTATTAAAGCATGAACCGACTAAAAACCAATCAATGGTCACCCCATAGATCACCAAAGTCTGCCACAACAGACATAAAAAAAATACATTCATAATTTAAAATCGCATCGGAATATGTTTTCCAATCATTCCAACACATCAGTACTATTACATTCATAGCTATTTTAAGAATTTCGTATTTTCTCACTCTCTCGACCCTCTCATACTAACATGCACAGTTAAATTATGTCCTCGGAGCGAAGATCTCACAGAGAATGTGCCTTCATCACAGGTAGTTTTCTCTTCCAGTAAATGACTTTTCAACGAGCTATATCATTCCTGCAAGGAATTCCAAAATTAAAACGATTTCTTATCATCATTTGGGACCAGCATCCTCAGAAGCTATTCGTTCAAACAGACAGCAGACACTACTTTTACAGCAGACTTGTCATAACATCTCTTAATGACATGTAAATAGTCTTGATAGTCAAATCAAATTAATGACATACACTGACAACATGCTGTCATCCCTACAGAGTGATTATAATCACTAAACCCGATACATTACATCTTTTCTACTTTCGTAGCCTGTAGATTAAAGTGGCATGGCAGCTGGAGTCCTTTCCCTCCTAATGTCATCAAACTTCATCTACACACTACAATTCATCAGTCATTGCCTCGTCAGTCTATCAAGATATGTCAGTCAGGGTTTCACTTGAATTCAAACTACAATTTATAAACCATTATAATAGGTTACTAAGTGTTCTTTTGGTATTAAAATGTAAAATGGTTTCATTGTACCAAGGTTTGTCAAACATTAGTGATATCATGCATCTTATCTCAACACGTGTCTGTCATCTCTTGTTGTTTTTGAAGTGTGCTAAACTATTTTGTCTGTTGTAATGAGAGATGGTCTTTCCTCTAAGAGAGTTTGTACAGCTGTAAAATCCAGAATGATGTTGCCTTCTTGTGATCCTTGCTAACTTTCTGCACATCACAGCAGTCACTCCCATCTTCACAGCTGCTCCTGTTCCACCATCTTAACGGTCACTCCTGTATCTGATCGTTACTGTAGATTCTTATAGTAATATCTGACCATGGTTAAAGTTTCGGTGTCATAACACAAACTTGACTCCCTGTGAGACGAACACTTCAATAAAATTACGCCCCTTTGTCTATGTGGAGAGCGTTAGTTACGCGTTGCCGGCAGCTGCGGCCCCCTGAGTATCAGTGGCATCCCCTCCAGGATTTGCCACACCAGTCTCCGGGGTCCCTCCCCCGGTTGTCGCGTTTGTGCCGCGATAATGTGGAGGTATGAGAACAGTATTCAGTGCCGGTTGAATTTGTATTTCTGAAATAAACAGAAAACAGTTCTTATTTGAAATTTAGAAGTGAATGTACATCACAGTGTTGAATATTTGTTGATTTTCACAAAACCTGTAAATTTTCATTTTTGCGAGATCTTTATTTTTCTTTTGTTTAGAATGGAATGAAAATGTAGAAAAATAAAGAATAGAGAAATGAAGAAAGAAAATTAAATCAGTAGAGAATACATTGTCTGTTTTTATGTCATGTCATACTAAGGATTGTTTATCAGGCTAGCAAAATTCTATTCTCACAATTTTTTTGCTTAAATCAAGTGATATGATAAACAGAATCTAACATCAATTTCTATTTTAAACTTTTTATGATTTTTTTTTTCCCCAATTAATCTTGCCGGAATTTAAATAAAATAAACCACCAGGAGTTTCTCCATAACCTCATGTATACAGAACTCATGTAAAACCCTTTATCTAAGTTTTTTATTGTCTTCATCAAGTCCGTCTACCTTGCTGAGTAAAGTTGAATAAAGGTGGCAGTTCCTTGCCACTGGGAAGTCGTGTTGAAGATTTTCGTAGCTCATCAAAGAATGTATGTGCACATGCTTCAAGGGGGCTGATCCGGGAGCCAGGTGTATACTCCAGGAGTCGACTGACCAACTGTATGGCCTCGGCGGGAGTGCGTGGCCGAAACACCTAGTATAGAGAAAAGAAGGCAGGAGTCAAAACCATCTCAATAGGTCGACGAAAACACAGACAACATCTACTGGAATCACTACCTTCCTTTCATGTTTTAGTTGTCAACTACTTTGTTTGAGAGAATCTGTGAGAACGTAACTTCCAAAAGAATTTAAAGACAAAAGACCACTGGTGTGGTAACGTCATTTCATGTTATCTTTTATTTCTCATCAACTGATGAAACGTTGCTGACAACTTCATCACAAATTTCCAAAGTACCAACTTGTTTTGACAGCATGATAAACATAACTGAATGATGATATAGAAAACAGCAGTTACATGTTAAGCAAGATAATGTTCCTTTGTAGACACAAAGTGATTTAGAAAATAGTCAGAAGACATTTACATGAAATTCACATGACTGACAATGCTGAAGGCAACACACCATCACCTGATTTTCAAGTAATCTGTTTAAATGAGAATTATTACAAATTGGTAATATCGTGAAAACTTTATATTAAATTTTTGAGTACAGTCTCCTCTTCATATTTGTAAGCATCAGTTCCCTTTCTTACGAAAGTGGTGAAAATTTCTAAAAACTTCCCAAAAATTTACTTAATTCTTAATATACTTTTAAATGGACACTTTCTTCAAACAATGGCCATTATTACCATAATTTTATATTGAGCTATATTGAAAATGATTTTGACATACATCCAAATACATATATTGTTTTCAGTGATAATTCATTGATAAGATACTGGTGTTCAACTTTAATATATATAATGCCAGGAAAAAGAGTGAAAATTTATCTCTATCTTTATATTAACAGGAACATTCACTGCAAAAGGGAAAATTGTGGATTAAGAAGAAATTCACTACAAAGTAATTTCACACATCAGGGAAGAGTAAATGGGATGAAGATTGGATTCTAGATGAGAAGATGGGTAAAGGCTATAATGGTTTAAAAATTCAAGCATAGTTACTTTCAGAATATTTTGTAAGCAGATGAAATTTACAGAAATCATGACAACGAAATGAAATCACATGTCTGCTCTCAAAGTTGATGTATGTAATGCCATGTGCTGACAGCTTAATGTTCAATTTCTATACCAATTATGATAAAGACAATTAATGAGAAACTTCACTTCCTACAACTTTAATCAAGTAGAAATGTTCTGGTAAAAATTGAATAATTTCATATTGATAGCTTGATTATTTTTCAAGTTTTCCTTTAAAAGAAATTTTTCATCAACAATTAATGAATTGACAACAAACAAGGAGTACAAAAAAAATTATAATAAAGGTTAAATGTTCCCAAAAGTACAGAAAATGTAGTGGAAGTTGTAACAGCTTTAAACAAAATGTTTTAATTTCGAGATTGAAATTTTCAGAATGTAATCAACTCAAACAATGTTAATATTCCATAGACATATAAATGAATTTTCTGCACCTTTGAGAATTAAACTGAGGTAATTAATAATAAATTGAAAATCAAGTTTTAGTCAGCTGACTATTATTAAGCAAAAAATAATAGAAAGTACATTCTATGTAGGAAAAGAGGAAATAGGTTTCATTATCAAAGCAAATAATATATCACATTAGTGACAATCACCGATTCAAATGTCTAAATGTTTTGTTCTTCTCTTGTTAGTTAAATATTTCAAATTTTTATCAAATACCCAAAGTTTCTTTTATCTATGAACTAAATTTCACTTCACTCCTTACTTGTCTCGCATCATTGAAGGGGAGTAAAACTGTCAGGTAAAAACTAGGAATAAAACGTAACACTACAAAATCTATTTCTAGTACGGCTGACCTGTCTTTCACCATGCATGTCCATCACAAAACGTATTCACAAACACAGTTAGGTCTGACAACGTCTCAATGGTGGCAACAGTATTTCTCTAGCACGACAAGTTCATTTTCTATAATCCCGAAAACTAATCATTTCAGAGTGGTAGCTGGCTTCGAAACTTTTTAAAGTCATCTAGCAACAGAATATTTAGAATCTCCTCTCCTTAAAATTTTCACATTTTCCATTTTCTTTTCTGAATCAACTAGGACCTGACAATTTTATTAAAATTATTTTTCCATTGTGAATGATTTCTAAAAAAAAAAAAAAAAAAATCCATGTGAATTATTTTCTTTTTACTAAACATAAAACTGATGCACAGCAGTGTCCCATTGTACCATACCATAGCCGGTGAACATGTGGACTGTGAAATGCCCAGGTCGACTATACATTGATGTTTAAAACTCACGGTAAGTACCTTTGACCAGGGATGCGCTCTGATTTGGGGGAATTTAAACTCTGTGTAATTAGGGTTCATCTCACGAATCTGTTCCCGTGTGGGTGTGCCAAGGACTTTAATGATTTCAACCAGCTGGTCCACACCACTGTCGCCAGGGAAAATTGGTTGTCCTAGCAACAGCTCAGCCAATACACAACCAGCTGACCACACATCTACAAATCAAGAGAAGTAACAAGATGTAACAGATCCAATTTCCAGTTATCTATCAAGCGAACAACAGACTATTAATAAATAAAATAATGAATTATTCAAAAATATACATTTTGTCGTTTTATTTTGTAAAAATGTAATTACCTTTTTTATCATGTAATATGTCCAGAGTGCTTGTTGGTAAATAACTATGGTACTCAAGAAAATATAGTTTAATTCTACTTCATAAAATACAGACATTTGTGTACTCCATTTTGTCTTAAATCTGTAAATGATTAAATGTGTTAAAACAAAAATATGCTTAAGCTACCTGTTTCGGAGGATTCAAATTCAACCTAGAATTTTTAAAACTTTGTCAATGAAAATGTGACTGGATGATTTGAAGAAAATATGTAAACGTTAAAAAAAGGCTGTATCTATGTGTGTATGAAAAAGATATTAAGAAAAGAAAAATCTATTTAAAGATGCCGGTGTTAACAAACCAGTAAAGTTCTACATACCTATCTGACAAGTATAGTCAGTTGCACCAAATATCAACTCTGGTGCACGGTAATACCGTGAACATATGTAAGAAACATTGGGCTCCCCGCGAACTAAAACTTTAGCACTGAAATACAATGTAGTCTTATATTATACACTGGATAAACAATACCAACCTATACATATTGGGAGAAATAGAAATACCAAAATCAGAACTCGATCCTATCATTGAGCATATTATCATTATACAACTACATATCAAATTATAGATCTACACTTCTATCTGTTAAAGAATAAATAAGCAAAATCAAAATCATGGTGGAAAGGAGGACAAGAGAATAATTAAATAATGGGAAATTACAAAATTTCAGATCTTCCAACATTAAATTTTGAAGAAATAGTCACATTTGATATTATTTCTAGAGTTGGTCAATTCTAGTCAAGGGATTATAGTTATTATAAAAAGTCACATGGGACAAACTCTGCTGTACTTACCTCCCAAAATCACAGAGTTTAAGAATACCAGACTCTGGGTCAAGTAGAAGGTTTTGTGGCTTGATATCACGATGACAGACTCCTTGACTATGGATGTAAGCAAGGCTTCTAAATAACTGGTACATGTATAGCTGTAACAAAACCACAAGTCAAGCTGTTAATAATTATCACAGAATTACAGTCCCTAACACAATACACCAAATCTCAGATACAGATGGCACCTATCATCTTCGGAAAGTGTTTAGATTGTCCTAGAAAATTGGAAAGAATACTATAAACGTGCATATATCAGAAGCAATGTAATTATTTGCTGTGATCATTCTGCACTAAAATTTGATAGTGCTAATTTCAATTTTATTATATCTTAATTCATATTGCAATTATCATGGATGCCCTAATCTATCAGTAAGTATTCATGTGTCAAAAATTCTACTGCACCAAATTGATTACATTCACAGTAACCAAAATGTTACAGCTTTTAGAATTGGACAAAATTTAGAGTACAATCTTTGTAGTTACCTGACAAGATGTCTCCGAAACCATTTTCAAAATCTTTGACAAAAGCTGGATTACTTCATTAATAAATGTCACCCAACATTTTACTGGAAGTGTAACTAGCAGTAAGATTACATACTAAAACAGTGCTCCAGATAACTTTTTGACATGTGGGGTTTTCACTCCTACCTTTATAAATTGAGGGGTTTTTTCACCCCTGCCTTCATCAAGTGTATGGGTTTTTCCATATTAGGGTAACACTGAATTTGTAAACATTTTTGACCGCGCCATATTTGCTATGCGACTGGTTTATAATCACGATCAAGAAAGCGCTTGTTACGAGTTTCGTTTACTTGATAAGTGTCTGTTTGACTTAGATTATTGAGTTTTCTAACTACGTAATATTGGAGCCGGACATTGACGCAGAGTCCGGATTTCGCACGGGTTAATGACGCAAATCTAATTTTTTTCCTAGCGTGAAATTAGAAATATTGTGCGTGAAAACGCATTCACGCAGGCTATCTGGAGCACTGCTAAAATATTGAAAATTGTGTATAGTTTTTGTGTGATGTCTGTCTCTATACAAACTCACCTTGACATATATAATGGGTACAGTTTGTGTATGACGTCTCTCTCTGTACAAACACACCTTGATATATATAATGGGTATGGTTTGTGTGTGACGTCTCTCTCTGTACAAACTCACCTTGATATATATAATGGGTATGGTTTGCTTGCTTTTACTGTAATGTCTGGCTACTCTATACACTGTCTCAGGGACATACTCCAGCACTAGATTCAAATACACTTCATCTTTCTGAAAAATGAAAACATGTAATATGAAAAATTATGAACACATTTTGATGTTTGAAATCATGACACAAGGTTACTTCACAATGTGATGGTGCCATCACAATACTGCTGCAAAACATGCACTCAAGTCTTTTTCTAAGTTATGACTGAACCAAATGAACTGTTCTCTGATAGTATCCATGATTAACCAAAGCGACTGTTCTCTGATAGCATCCATGGTTAACCAAAGCGACTGTTCTCTGATAGCATCCATGGTTAACAAAAGGAACTGTTCTCTGATAGTATCCACTGTTAACCAAAGGAACTGTTCTCTGATAGTATCCACTGTTAACCAAAGGAACTGTTCTCTGATAGTATCCATGGTTAACAAAAGGAACTGTTCTCTGATAGTATCCATGGTTAACCAAAGGAACTGTTCTCTAATAGTATCCATGCTTAACCAAAGGAACTGTTCTCTGATAGTATCCATGGTTAACAAAAGGAACTGTTCTCTGATAGCACCCATTGTTAATCAAAGGAACTGTTCTCTGATAGTATCCATTGTTAACAAAGGAACTGTTCTCTGATAGTATCCATTGTTAACAAAGGAACTGTTCTCTGATAGTATCCATGGTTAACAAAAGGAACTGTTTTCTGATAGTATCCATGGTTAACAAAAGGAACTGTTCTCTGATAGCACCCATTGTTAATCAAAGGAACTGTTCTCTGATAGTATCCATTGTTAACAAAGGAACTGTTCTCTGATAGTATCCATTGTTAACAAAGGAACTGTTCTCTGATAGCATTCATTGTTAACCATTGTTATCCATTGTTAACAAATTCAGGTTAACCAAAACTGTTCTCTGATCCATTGTTAGCATATCCATTGTTAACAAAAGGAACTGTTCTCTGATAGTATCCATTGTTAACAAAAGGAACTATTCTCTGATAGCATTCATTGTTAACAAAAGGAACTGTTCTCTGATAGTATCCATTGTTAACAAAAGGAACTGTTCTCTGATAGTATCCATTCTTAACCAAAGAGACTGTTCTCTGATAGTATCTACTGTTAACCAAAGGAACTGTTCTCTGATAGTATCCACTGTTAACCAAAGGAACTGTTCTCTGATAGCATTCATTGTTAACAAAGGAACTGTTATCTGATAGCATCCATTGTTAACAAAGGAACTGTTCTCTAATAGTATCCATTGCTAACAAAGGAACTGTTCTCTGATAGTATCCATTGTTAACAAAGGAACTGTTCTCTGATAGTATCCATTGTTAACAAAGGAACTGTTCTCTGATAGTATCCATTGTTAACAAAGGAACTGTTCTCTGATAGTATCCATTGTTAACAAAGGAACTGTTCTCTGATAGTATCCATTGTTAACAAAGGAACTGTTCTCTGATAGCACCCATTGTTAATCAAAGGAACTGTTCTCTGATAGTATCCATTGTTAACCAAAGGAACTGTTCTCTGATAGCATTCATTGTTAACCAAAGGGACTGTTCTCTGATAGTATCCACTGTTAACCAAAGGAACTGTTCTCTGATAGTATCCACTGTTAACCAAAGGAACTGTTCTCTGATAGTATCCATTGTTAACAAAGGAACTGTTCTCTGATAGTATCCATTGTTAACAAAGGAACTGTTCTCTGATAGTATCCATTGTTAACAAAGGAACTGTTCTCTGATAGTATCCTTGGTTAACAAAAGGAACTGTTCTCTGATAGCATTCATTGTTAACCAAAGGAATGTTCTCTGATAGTATCCATGGTTAACCAAAGGAACTGTTCTCTGATAGTATCCACTGTTAACCAAAGGAACTGTTCTCTGATAGTATCCACTGTTAACCAAAGGAACTGTTCTCTGATAGTATCCACTGTTAACCAAAGGAACTGTTCTCTGATAGTATCCATTGTTAACAAAGGAACTGTTCTCTGATAGTATCCATTGTTAACCAAAGGAACTGTTCTCTGATAGCATTCATTGTTAACCAAAGGGACTGTTCTCTGATAGTATCCATGGTTAACCAAAGGAACTGTTCTCTGATAGCATTCAGTGTTAACCAAAGGGACTGTTCTCTGATAGTATCCATGGTTAACCAAAGGAACTGTTCTCTGATAGCATTCAGTGTTAACCAAAGGGACTGTTCTCTGATAGTATCCATGGTTAACCAAAGGAACTGTTCTCTGATAGTATCCATTGTTAACAAAAGGAACTGTTCTCTGATAGTATCCATTCTTAACCAAAGAGACTGTTCTCTGATAGTATCCACTGTTAACCAAAGGAACTGTTCTCTGATAGTATCCACTGTTAACCAAAGCGACTGCTCTCTGATAGTATCCACTGTTAACCAAAGGAACTGTTCTCTGATAGTATCCACTGTTAACCAAAGGAACTGTTCTCTGATAGTATCCACTGTTAACCAAAGCGACTGCTCTCTGATAGTATCCACTGTTAACCAAAGGAACTGTTCTCTGATAGTTTTCTTATACAGGCAGTTGCCAAGTCACTGTACACTGTATGTTAATACCTAATGGGGTATCGGTTTTAGTTGATGAATTTCTTGCTAAGTTTGGAACATAACTCTTTGGTGATATCTCAACTTTAAAATGATTATGCAGTTCTCCAATTGCTAAAAAACACCTGATAAAAGTGTCAGTTTCCAAAGAGTATTGATTGTTAACCCAAAGGGCAGTAGTCTGATAGTATTGATTATTAAATGAAGGGACTGTTCTCCGACAGTATCGAATAGAACTGTTATCTGTTATATCACCACCCCCCCCCCCCCAACAATTCCACCGGGGGTAAATAAAATATACCAAGGGGACTATTCTCTGATGTTATCATCAAAGTGTTTTTGTACCAACATCTCTGGACTTCCCATCTACAAACAATTCACAAGGGAATTTAACAATTCCCTGTTAATCCAATCTAATTCTTGTACTAAGACAGAATAACATCAATCGACAGAGCTAAGGAGTTCCAACATTGTGAACCAGGAATCTAAGCATCGGTAAATGTTCCACAAAGATTTTTTTATTTCTTTTTTTCTTTTTTCAATTTCAAACACAAAGCAAGCATAATTTACAACCTATAATTTCATAAATCTAATTTAAGTTTCTGTTCTCAGAAAAAGGGAGAGAAAAAAAGTTGATATCCTGAGTTGAGTTTAGAAAGACAGTGAACAGAACATGATGTCTTAAATCATCTTGAAGTGGCCAAGAACACAGTACGAGTCGGACACAGAAAATCAATATCTAGGAAGAGCATGAAGGGGATTTCCTCTCCTGAGACATACACTGTGAACAATATATGTACAAAATGCTACCATTTAATGGTCTCTAGTCTCTCAACATTAGTAGGGGTCTTGAGATACAAATAAGGCCACATCTTAAGCTAACTTCATTTTATGTGCCTTACTAATTGAGGCACTTACAGCTAATTATTTGAATAAAATCACCTGAAAAAGCATCATAAGTGCTAAAAGGACCTTTACTTAAGAGTGACAAATGCTATTAAACAAAGGATTTCTTTTTGTCTACAGTCCTCAAGATCACTTGAAAGAGATTAAACCTGGAAAAATCTGCCCTATCCATCCTGGGATAGTTTAAGGGGATAACATATTACTTCTTACTGTTGAGGGATTGGCTTCCTATACAACATTGAAATTACTTGTTTATTTCAACATTTGCTTGTCTACAGTTTTTTAATGTGATGTTTCCTTGTATTAACTGGTAGCTATCTTAGTGAACAATATAAGGGAGGCCAGTCAGCTGCCATTGGCATGGGTAGGGAGCATTGAACTAGGGACTGAAGGAGCACTGAACCAGGGACTGAAGGAGCATTGAACCAGGGACCGAGGGAGCACTGAACAAGGGACCGGGGGAGCACTGAACCAGGGACTGAGGGAGCACTGAACCAGGGACCGAGGGAGCACTGAACCAGGGACCGAGGGAGCACTGAATCAGGGACCGAGGGAGCACTGAACCAGGGACTTAGGGAGCACTGAATCAGGGACTTTTTCTTTTGATATAATTTCTAATATTTTCTGGATAGATTTGCACAGCTGACCACATCCTTACTGAACGTTTAGAAAATATAAGTCAATTTTTTTTTTTACAGTTTGATAAAAACTGACTGAAAATTTATGTACTTTTTGAATATCACGATACTGATAAACAGCACATATCTATACAATACACAAGAAATTATAGTGATATGATACTGTATATAGCTGCTACACTAATATGTATCATACCTTGGAACAATAATAGTTTCTACTTACCTTATCACCTGATGAATAAAAGAAAAATTTTAACAGGACTATATTCTGGTGCTCAAGCTTTCTCATTATCTGCAATTCTCGATTCTGAAAACATAAAAAAAATTGAAATCAATGAAACGGACATTCTAACTAAGGTCTTGCTTTGCATAGAAGCAATTGTTTGCAATCACAACATAACCCTGCATTGTTTTGTGTACATTGTGTTCAAGATTTTTCAACTCGAAATTATATTAACTGGAATTCATTTCAGTATCAAACATTTTTCACACTAAATGTTTAAACACCAGGTACAAGGCAACATGGTATATTAATAAAGAGTGAAATATGTTTCTTTATAACACAAGATGGAAAGATCCATTTAAATTTGGAAATATTGGCCAGACAAAAATATTTTACCCAATTACGATAATCAAGATATAACTTGTCTGGTGATGTTAACTGCAGTTAGGATGCATGGGCCATCCCTAATGGTGATAAACACTGATTTTAAAATCTGAAAGTTTACACAACTTACCTTAAAGCGCCGGTCCTGAAGAACCTTTTTAATGGCGACATGTTCTGATGACTCGACTAGTTTGGCCTGGTACACAACTCCAAATGAGCCATTACCAATTACCTTGGCATCTGTGTAGGAGACTTCCTGGGGACGGTCGGGTCCGGTGCCCGCCGTAGCAACAACGGTCGTTATTTTGTTTCCATCTTTGCCTGCAAAATTGAATTAAAACTGCTTAAAATTGAATATTTGCTTTCAAATTTGATACTAGAGCAGATATATACATATATATACCTTTAGTAAACAACACAAATTAAAAGGAATTGTAAGATATAGCATGTGTAAACTAACTCTTGAATATTTATCTACTTGGGAAATCTTAATTGACGCCAATTGCAAAAGACTGTCATAAAACTGATGCAAACTTTGAATTCCTAAATAAACGTCGACCTTGATGCATGCGCTGTTGTGCATAAATTTGTGTCATACAATCGTGCTACGGGTACTAAAACTTATATGTACAATAAGGATTACCTTAACTTATACCATTCCTGTCATAAGAATATTTATAAGGAAATTGCCCCCAATCTTATCTAAAATGTAACCTTTATTAGTTTAAACTTTAACGTTTATTAATTTGCAACTGCAATCTGAAGTACATAGAGATCTCAATGTTCAAATACTTAAACACTGTAACAATGTGCAGACAATCAATAAAACTCCAATCAAGTAGCAAAGACCATCTCATCACTGCTAGCGCCAGTATCTTGTTTCATGTGCTGGTATCAGTTACTTTATTATGAAATTAAAAATTTATCCCCTTGTAGAGCTAGCAGGTAAAGGTAGGAGTCTTAGTGAAACATCAACCATTATACAACACAGGTATTCAGTTTTTTTCCACTTCATTTTTACAAGCGCAGCTTGTGCCTTCATTAATTGGGAAGATGTAGCAGGATTTTCTGAGAAACTAGGGAAATATTTTATCTTCATTTTTGAAAAAAAAACCCACTCTTTTTGACAATGTAGGGAAATGGCAGGTGTAGTAAATTTGTCTACAAATCTACTTTTGTTTACATGCAAAAATCTAGATCTATTGACACCAGACAGTAAAGTTATAAACAAAATTTTAAGAAATCGCTTTAAAAAAATTGTCTAAGGATTTTACGAGGACTTGTCTTTGGTCTTTATATCTAGGAAATAAGCTGTGGTATTTTATTCAAAATTACTGATGAAAAAAAGATGATTACAATAATAGTTTTTCCTTCAGAAATTGTTACAATTTGTTTTTTTTTTTTTTAATTTCTATACATCAGTATCTGACCCTAAAGGTGATGTTATGGACATAGTGACACACGACATTGTGTACAGTGATTTTTTGGGACTTAATTTGGAGTCCTGGGCTATGATTTTCCTGTGGGCTCAACCAAACTTTTGAGAACCCTTTGCCACCATGTCTATAAGTAGTGGGATTCATCATAATTTTGGGATGTTTTGGACTTCCTTAAAAACAACCCTACAAAAATTACTGGTGTACACAGGCATTTTTGATAATTCTTGCTATAATGTTTTATTTCACTAATAATAATAATAAAAAAAACATCTTCCCAGTTTTTTTAAAAGATTAACAATTTAAAACAGACTCCGACTGACACAGGTTGTAGAAAGAACACTACTGACAGATAAATGGCAGTGCAACACAGCTCTACATGAAAGGACCAAATAATGTCCAGTGCAGCAAAACTGAAGTAGAAACTCTAAAGTCACCAGAACAACTTTTGTGCCTCAGAGAAGTTGATCAGATCTTTGCAATGCAAAGGAAATGTAATTTTCTGGTCGTGTGATCACAGGGCTGGTGATCTGCTGTCAAGACTGTCTGAGTCCAAAGCACAAGAACACAAAACATTGATTAAAAAGTCTACTCACATCGCCATTTGAAAGCATTTCGAGCTACTTGTATGCATATTGTGTAGTATCCTTACGGTCCTAGCTTCCTCCCCAGGTAATTGACTAATTGTTATTCATCTTATTGTGATAGCCAATTGTCTTATGTTAACTTTGCTTCACAGACATAATTTACATACAATCCTAATTTGGTGAACATTCAATTAAGAGTATTAAGACAAAAGGATTCAGTCAATAACCTTTCTGATTCTCTGAGGAAAGAAGACATGCGGGTCTTCGCTGAAGAAAATCAGCTGAATAGATACACAGAGCAAAAAGATAGCCCTGTTATCATATTAAAAGGACACCATTTCATTTGATAATTAATGATCAGGTGCATTCCAAAATTACGTTTGATTAATGGTAGACTGGTTGTGATATAGCTATTGCCAATTTTCTGCTTGTTTTTAAAATAAAAATTTAAAATATCGGAGCCTGTAGGGTGATCATGATTTTATAAATTTTTCCTTGAAAATTACAATAAATTTAAAGCAATGCAGCACAATTTTAATTAGAGGCAATAAGCCATGACTACTGGTAACAACACTGGTTTTTTTTAGTAACCTTATATTTAGATGGAGAAAATAAGAAAATTTATGTACTGTGGCTAGTAATTTACAAACATTTTGAAAAGCAGGAAAGTTATGCATGATATATGCTTTCCACCCCATTTAATTTAGGATGTCTTAGTGTAGCATGCATAGGTTCTTAAAACTCATTCCTTGTCACATGTGAGTGTGATACAATTTCATTTAAAATGATATCAAAACAATCACTACAATGACAAAGTACACTTACATCTCAATTGGGGAATTTTACTGATGACAATAACAACTTATTTCATAATTGAATCTGATGCTAATTATTACTATTATGAAAACAAACTTATAATAATCATGAAATCAAACAAGCTACTGTAATATTAATAATTTACCAGATCTACATTGATGCCATATCTATTTATTTACATTCTGTGTCTTGTTCAAAATTTTCATTCTGATATTATGTCAAAGATTTTATATTCAATCATTCAAACTCACAATAATGTCACTATTTTCTCTTGCTGCAGTGTTTCAATTTAAGTACGATAAATACCTATTGGTACATTTAATAGGTATAAATTCATGTTTTACAGCCTCAGCAGTAGTCCCAAAGAATGATTCATAGCTACAATTTTGTAGGTCACAAATGCAAAAGGCTGGGAAATAAATCAAACAGGACAGGTCTAGGCTGCTTTAGGAACTTAAATTAAAGCTTTAGTATGTGTACTGCAGTGCATTGAACCTGCTGCCTAATACCTAATTAGTGTCAATTCTAAGACATGGTTGGGGTGTAGGGAGCCGATCACGATTCTACAGGCCAGACTGTCAGCGAGATACTTAAATAGCAAGATCCCCTTGGAATATTTCAGTTTTTTGGTGTTTTTTTTAAAATAATGTTACAAATGATTTGTTAAGGAGTGGCATTACAAAATTTTCTAAAATGAACTATGAATGCCTTCTTTGGGTTAGACTTCCTTCAATTTCAAATTTCATTGAAATCTAGGTATTTTGCTCAAGTTCTAAAGACAAAATTGATAAATTGCATTAGTTGTTAGTAACAAGCCTAACCTTCCAGAAACTTGAATGGAGAAATCCAATGAGATTTACATGAAGATCTAATGGGTAATGGCGTTATCTTTCATCATTCTACATATTTCTACAGCATGTTGATTACATTAGCAACAGAAAGCACATGCAAGTCATACAGAAATACTGTCTGATGCACAGAATTTACGCAAAACTGATATAACGACAACCTTCATGCGTGCCAAGATATGTTTCAAAAATGAATTTAGCAGGACTGATTACTCTGGATGGATAACATATGTATTAATTACTGTACCTGTATCAATCGCATTTAAATGATTTATGGTCGAGGGTTAAAAATCAAGTTGGATTTGGATGTCACTTCATGATGTCCAATAGAAAAGGCTTTGGATTCATTAACTCATAATACTTTACATTCGAATGTATAGCTCTAGTTTGTAGTCATGTAAATTCAGTTCTATTTAAAGCTAACAGTGAGAGTTCAAAATGACAAAAAAACATGAACAAAGTTTTAGATTTAAAAATGTTTCATAGATGTCTCCCAGATGACAAAATCTTCTTGTCAGCATATCTAAGGATGGATAAAAACATATTCCTGTCAAGTGTCCAGACAGCAATGAAACCTGGATCTCTAATGTGATAATCCATGCCATCATATAGCCGAAGAACAATGACCAGTTCCCTTTCCCCTCGTACCCATTTTTTCTCAGGTTCCTAAATCTCAACTGGAGACTCTAAATACCATGACCTGAAAGATATCTTTTGATGTTTTTGTGTGATAGTCTTTGGTTCTATCAGCTGAGGTACAGAAGTACACAATCAGCTGAGTGAAATAGTGTTTTTAACAATATGAAACTCTAATCACACATGCCCTCTACATCTCCACACGTGATAAGGGCATCTTTAGTTATAAAAACCCTGATGTTTCATTTTTGAATTGGCAATGCCAAGAGATAGCATGCGTCAAGCAGATGGAAAACTTGTAACCAATTTATTTGAAAGTATTTTGTATGAATTTGTATATGGTAGTGACATTTCAAGGTCTGTAAAGGAAATGTGTCTAAATCCCCAAGTTATAATCAATTCCATATAATACCTGTCCTGGAAAGACATTAATAGGTACTTAAAGGCATCAAATAACATTTTTAAAAACTTACATCGTCTGTATCTAAATCCATTTGACAAGCTCAAGTTGTATATTACTCTAGTTTAACTCACATTTTTTCATGTGACAGTTAAACGTTTTCTAACATGTAAAATGTCTGGGGATTCGAGGTTTGGAATGTCGATGAAATATCTACAAGATTCAGTTTGAATTATATTGAAATTATCTTAATCGTAAGACAGTTAAATACGTACAAGTAATCTTGTTATGTTTTATCAAGGGAGATACCCAAAATTTGACTTCTTGAATAATTATGATAAATATGATAAGTACTGGTTACCATGTACACATTGTCAATGTCATTCAAATAGAGATTTGCCAGAGGTAGTAAACAGACATACGGGCCTAAGTGTGAATATTAATACATTTCATAATATTTTGGGTAAACGAGTTCCATCTGTGAGGAAGAAACAGGTAAAATAAGGGTAATTTGTACAACCATTCTCGACAACAGGCGGTCGCCATCTTGTTTCCGTGACCCATTTATATGCTACTGATGTAGAATTGACCACTTACTGAACCCTGTTTTCACCCCTCCAAATGAGGCATGAGCACCACTTTTTCCAGCATCGGTTATGGAAGTTGTCCTCGGACGACCACTCATAATTATATGTATTCTTAAGTCATCAAGAGAGAGTACATTTATTCAGTTCCAAGGCCACAATATTACATCTCCCAATGGCGCTCTCGTAAAATTCCGTCGGACAAAATGTCAAGAAACCTGTCGCAGAATCAGCGTTGATAAGGGTTCAGAGCGATCATAGGTCCAAATAATAGTGAAGGAGGGTGTCCTAAGTCCTCCAAAGACATGAATAACAGTGTGATGTTGAAATCCTTCACATCTATTCACTATTTCTCCCGTGTAACCATACAATGGTATGCAAATTTGGTTTCCAATGGCTGATCTGCTGTGACGGATGAGCTATCTCCGAGACTTATTCGTGAATGTGCGGTGGCGAGCAGGACCAATCAAAAGCGTTAAATGACATGTCGGAATAACCCGTACGTTGTTCGGCTGTTTCCGCAAACCCACAAAATCTATGACGTAAACAAAAGGTGCTAAATTTATAGACCGAATATGCGGCTACAAATTAAAAGCTGGAATTTTGCTTGAAGATGGTATCGTTCTCTTTGAAGTGCAGTCTACATATTTGGTAGGAACAATCGCATGCTCCGTTGTTATTTTTTATGACAACTCTAAAGGAACTGTTCTGACAATGTAATGTACAGGACAGTATATGTATATGGTATGAAAAACTGTATTAGCCTTGTTGAAAATTAGTTTTGATTCTCTGAGAAAATAAAAGTAGACTTAACTCAACTCTCAAACCTTATACGCTCAATGATGAAACAATTCTGATTTTTTCCCCGTGTATTTTCAATGTTCATGCTGAATTTATGCCTATGATTTGAATTAGAAATAAGTTCCTGTTGATTAAAATCATCAATAAAACATCTATGATGGGCTCTGACAATTAGCTTCATTAATAAGTTGTTGATGAGACAAAAACCAGACTTGGTATTGAAGAAATTGGAAAATAATGATAAAAGTTTATTTTGTCTTATTTTTACTGTTATGTCAATATGACTGGTGTAGATCTTGATTATGTAGGCTAGCTTAATTCTAAGATTTCTAGTTAATTGTGGGCATGGTAATACAGGTATGTCTTGTATCTAGTCACCACAGAGTATTTCATTCAGTTCTGCCTATCAGTTACACCCTTGCCTTAAAACTGGCCATTTGAAGATTTTTGTCCTGGTGGTCCCTGGGTATCCGTAGCAGCCATGTCTGATTGCTTAGATAATCTGGGTCAGCGAATTGAACATTTTATTGGTGAAGGAAAGCATGCACTGTCACAGACATCCTCGATACTCTAGGGGTTACACTCGCTATCACTTACTGCATGCACCCCAGGATCATGCAATGGCAAAACTGAAAACTCAAGCAAAGTGTAATTTGATTTGTCTAGAGTGAGTTCTAGAGAAAAAAACTTTATTATAGTGTCAGATTTAAGAATGTTTCATAGATGTCTCACAGATGACAAAATCTTCGCAACAGCATATCCGAGGGTGGATAATAACACATTCCTGCAAAGCACCCAGACAGGAATGAAACCTGGGTCTCTAATGTGATAATCCATCTCATCATATGTCCGAACAATAGTGACCAGTTCCCTTTCCCCTCATACCCAATTTTTTTCTCTAGTTCCTAAATTTCAACTGGAGACTCTAAAGACCCTGACCTGAAGGAATCTTTTGGTGTCTTTGTGTGATAGCCTTTGGCTCTACTAGCTAAGGTAAAGAACTACACAGTCTGCTGAGTGACAGTGTTATTAACCTATCAATCACAGGACAATAAACTCTTTTGAATATTATAATGGAGCAACACTGAACTTCAAAGTTGTTACAACATACCGTTATGCAACCTCGAGGTTCGATTGATGTACAACAAAGGATTAAACTAGTCTTTTCATCTTGTCCACAAGGTGTCTCACATTAAACCTTCTATTTTTGGTCTGTACTAGGATCTTCGATAAAGTTTCACATTGTGGTCTGTAACAGGATCTGCCCCTACCTTGCCACAGCATTTTTCCTTTTTATCTTTTTGTGAAAAAAAATATCAGTTAGGATGAAATTTTGAGTAAATGTTTCGAATTTGACCATATTATGAAATAAAGTGTGGTAATTGAGAATAGGGCCATATTTGGCCCACTGAACCCCAGAAAAAGCCCTGTATGCTTAGTCTGTACTAGTTTTTTCTTGCTTGGTCAATAGCGGGGATTCCCTTTATAGAATTACCATTCAGGTTTTGTATAAGGGTCTGTACCAGGGTTTCCCTTTACCTTGCTGGGTCTGTACCCAGGTCTACTCATACCTTGCTGTGTCTGTACCCAGGTCTACCCTTAACTTGGTGGGTCTGTACCCAGGTCTACCCTTACCTTGCTGGGTCTGTACCCAGGTCTACCCTTATCTTGCTGTGTCTTCACCCAGGTCTACCCTTACCTTGCAGTGTCTGTACCCAGGTCTACCCTTACCTTGCTGGGTCTGTACCCAGGTCTACCCTTACCTTACATTGTCTGCACCCAGGTCTACCCTTACCTTGCAGTGTCTGTACCCAAGTCTACCCTTACCTTGCAGTGTCTGCACCCAGGTCTACCCTTACCTTGCTGGGACTGTACCCAGGTCTACCCTTACCTTGCTGGGTCTGTACCCAGGTCTACCCTTACCTTTGTGGGTCTGTACCCAGGTCCACTCTTACCTTTGTGGGTCTGTACCCAGGTCCACCCTTACCTTGCTGGGTCTGTACCCAGGTCTACCCTTACCTTGCTGGGTCTGTACCCAGGTCTACCCTTACCTTGCTGGGTCTGTACCCAGGTCCACCCTTACCTTGCTGGGTCTGTACCCAGGTACACCCTTACCTTGCTGGGTCTGTACCCAGGTCTACCCTTACCTTGCTGGGTCTGTACCCAGGTCTACCCTTACCTTGCTGGGTCTGTACCCAGGTACACCCTTACCTTGGTGGGTCTGTACCCAGGTCCACCCTTACCTTGGTGGGTCTGTACCCAGGTCTGCCCTTACCTTGCTGGGTCTGTACCCAGGTCCACCCTTACCTCGCTGGGTCTGTACCCAGGTACACCCTTACCTCGCTGGGTCTGTACCCAGGTCTACCCTTACCTCGCTGGGTCTGTACCCAGGTCTACCCTTACCTCGCTGGGTCTGTACCCAGGTCTACCTTTACCTTGCTGGGTCTGTACCCAGGTACACCCTTACCTTACTGGGTCTGTACCCAGGTCCACCCTTGCCTTGCAGGGTCTGTACCCAGGCCTACCCAGGCCTTGCTAAGTCTGTTCCCAGGTCCACCCTTGCCTTGCTGAGTCTGTATCCAGGTCTATCCTTGCCTTGCTGAGTCTATACCCAGGTCTACCCTTACCTTGCTGGGTCTGTACCCAGGTCCACCCTTGCCTTGCTGCGTCTGTACCCAAGTCTACCCTTACCTTGCTGGGTCTATACCCAGGTCTACCCTTACCTTGCTGGGTCTGTACCCAGGTCCACCCTTACCTTGCTGGATCATGGAAATATTTATATCTCCTCTTTTTCAGAAAGACAGACATGGCAGGTAACATAGGACACAAAGTTGTTGTTGACATCAATCTCACTTCTCTTGATGTAAAAGATGATGGTGATGAGGAAGATATGACTGATGAAGATGAACTCCTGACAGATGATGATGAAAATGAAGATGATGTGCATGAAGAAATACCACTCTCTTTAACCGGTGGCAAGTACAGTGGCAGAGAACAGTCAAGAGTTCAACTGACTGCTCGTCCAGCCAGGGAAAGGAAACAAAAACAACAGTTCAATTGGGCAAATTTCAATTGGACTTATAAAGAAAAACAACAGTTACTTGGAGCCCTTAAAAAGTAGGTTCTGAGATCTAAATTTGAGCTTTAATGCTAAAAATCACAAACGCATTTTCTAGAGTGAAAAAATTTTCCTCGTCAAAAATAAATATATAATTCTCAATATTATTTCCCCCCATGTCTTGTTTACTACATCTGTACAGTTTTATTGGCCGGGTTGCACATTGTGCAAATCCAGGTTATAGCATGGTGAATGGTGGGCGGGCAGCTGGGCGGGCTGGGAAAAGGGGTACCAGTTTTGTAGAGTTAACTCCTAAAGTTTTTGTTGTAGAAGCTTGAAACTTTGTAGGATGTTGATATATATGTTGAAGATGTGCATCTTTTATTATGGTGTGATTCTGGACATTTTTCTGGATTTTCCGGGCTTTTGAACTTAGTCATTTTCAACAGTCTGGCATGGAAAATCCAAGATGGCAGCCTTTGCCTCATATAACAAATATTCTACATACTCAACAAATGAAACACCCTTAACTGTCTTATAAATACCACATCACATTGCACTCATCCCGCAACCTGGCCAATTGTTGCATCTGTGGACCACGATTTTCAGTGTATAATTTCTTGAGCTCACAATTAAATAATTTTGAGTCTTGCACCTGAAAATCAGAGCACATTTTTTTTTGTTCCACCTTTGATCTGTATTTGTGACTTGGGGAACATTTACATATATCAATTTATAAAAGAAAATAGGAGAAAATAGATTTGAATCTACGTTTAAGTTTTCATCAGGTTAATTAAAAGTAATTTAGTGGAAGGATGTAGCTCCACAGATAACCTGAACATTTTCAATCATCAGAGCTAGAGCTTCAAACCTTTGTCTTGATTGTTCTTAATTTTGAAAGCATCTTATTTAATATAACTTGTGTAGAAGCACATCTATATTTACATATTTTCATCATAGATTTATGCATAGCTGCCTTAGTTTTTTACAACTTGTATAGGTACTCACCTTAGTTTATACAACTTGTATAGGTACTCGCCTTAGTTTATGCAACTTGTATAGGTACTCGCCTTAGTTTATGCAACTTGTATAGGTACTCGCCTTAGTTTATACAACTTCTATAGGTACTCGCCTTAGTTTATACAACTTGTATAGATACTCGCCTTAGTTTATGCAACTTGTATAGGTACTCGCCTTAGTTTATACAACTTCTATAGGTACTCGCCTTAGTTTATACAACTTGTAAAGGTACTCGCCTCAGTTTATGCAACTTGTATAGGTACTCACCATAGTTTATACAACTTGTATAGATACTCGCCTTAGTTCATACAACTTGTATAGGTACTCACCTTAGTGTATACAACTTAGGTACTCGCCTTAGTTTATACAACTTGTATAGGTACTCGCCTTAGTTTATACAACTTGTATAGGTACTCGTCTTAGTCTATACAACTTGTATAGATACTCGCCTTAGTCTATACAACTTGTATAGGTACTCACCTTAGTTTATACAACTTGTGTATATACTCGCCATGATTGTTTTCACTTGTAAAGAATTTTAAATACATTGACAGATATCCACCTTCAGCTGTTGACCTGATACATGCAGAAGTTTCTACCAAGACAAAATTACAGGTAAGACAGGATGAAGTAAGAGGTAAGATTTGATAAAATTGAAAGTTAGATATGATAAAATTACAAGTGAGACATAATGAAATTACAGGTAAGATTTGATAACATTACAAGTAAGATATGATGAAATTACAGGTAAGTTATGATAAAATTACAAGTATAGGGTATGGGGCTCAATAATCATTTTTAGCAAACTTAACCATTTGAGCGATACAGGCCTTATGGATCTCTGGTTTCTGGAGTCTGTTTGTAAATCACTCTTTATTTTTTCCATAGTGTCATCAAATTTATGATTGAATTACCTAGTATGTAAAATTCTGTTAATAGTATTTTCTTTGTTGTAATAATTTTAAACAAATTATGGAAATAGATGTCAGATTGTTATTAACACAGAAGATATAACCAGAGACATTTGTGGTATTAATATTGATATTTTTCAGATAAAAGATTACTTGAACAAGATTCACAAATCTATCCAATGGAAAAGTGAGTATCCTTATATATGGTGTTGATTTGATAAGGGAGATAACTCTGTTCTAATAAACATAATTGTGCTCAATACCAACAATTTGACATTTTTAATAATAAGGAGGAAAGCAATACCAGAAGAAACTTATTGTTATTTTTTTTTTTTTTTTTTGATGGCTTTTCTTAGTTCCAGGTGGTCCTCTCACTTAAAAGTGATCCTTCTTGATTTCAAGTCGTTGTTCTTGATTTCAATTGTTTTGTCTCAATTTCAGTTGGTCCGTCACATTTTTCAAGTGATCCTTCTCAGTTCCAAATTCTAAGTGGTCCTTCTCAATTACAGATGATTCATCTCCAAGCAGTCCTTCCTTATTTAAGCTGTTCTTTCTAAATTCCAAATTGTCTTTCAGAAATTTTAGAAATCACAATGAAACAATCATTATAAGCAATTTAATATATTCAGTATTTATCGCCTAAGATGCCCCATCAATGCAGCCCCACGTCCTATGACCTTTTGTCTCTATGCTATTCAATCTTTTATTTGCTGTTACCACTGGTTCTAGTCAAACATTTAAGAGATATAGAAATGTCTCTAAAACCATCTAAGAGAACTCTCAGCTGTACACAGCTCAGACAAACTACCAGAATGATCAAAACCAACATTATTCTGGGTTTTCCATAAGAGCCGGTTGTCGGAAAATTTGACCGGCTACTTTGATCATTTGGCCACCTACATCAATCCAGTTCCGTAATAATGTTCCATACACGACTACACGTACACGGCAGGCCAGCCTCCTACTTTCACTACACAGCCTACTGCTAACAAAATTATGGAAAACCCTGTTATTACCATCTTATATGATATATGATAAAAATTCAGTCAAAGTTGTTCTGTGTTTGTCAGACCATCTGTTTCTAAACATTTCACTGGTTCCTCCAGTAATTTGGTGGTGTAGGGGGTTCAGGACCATAGCTAGATCACTAAAATAATTTCTTATTTGATAATATTTTATGATAACTATATTATCAAGAAGAAATATGTTCGTATTTTTGAAATTGAGATTTGTCATTTCTTGTCCATTTTTACACAAGTAAATGTTTTGTTTATACTTGTATATAATATTACTTTTATAACTACATTGGTCAGCAAAACCTGAATGATAATTTTGAAAATATCTTTATGGACCTTTTTTTTTCTTTAATTTAATTTTGTAGACTCTTTTTTCCCATTTTGTACTTTGTATAAGCATTTCCTTTTCTTAATTTCCCATATGAAATGAATAATATCACTGTTCTTAATTTTAAATTTTTAAGTACGATATTTGTGAAAAAGTGCCATTGATACATGAAATTGCTTTTGAAAAGTCTTTTTGTATAAGCATCTCAAACTTGCCTGTACCGGCTTAAAAGATTTACATTGAAGTTATCAGTGACATATTTAATTGTTATTTTTAGGTGACAATCCAATGCCTATTGTGGTGAGTACTACCAGTTACCTCCCCTGATATGTTTGAGAGAAATTAGATTCAGATGATTCATTGCAAGCCTTCATTGTAATTTCAATGCTGTTAACATCAAGATAATATGAGATTTTTTTCAATAAAACGGTACACAAGAAAATTATGTTTTAAAGAAATGTGCATAAAGTGAAAAGTCATCCTGCCAGTGTTGTTAACCTCTGGTTATCTAATATATGTTCATAGCTCTACAGAATCAAAGGCAACCACTTTTTAAGTGAAATCAAGGAAAAAGACCTTATAATGACTTTTTATGTATAGTTATCAAACTTGTATGTATTTAGAAAATGTCCAGTGTTTTGTTTGAACATGTACTTTTTTATCCACAGATTAATTTTCAAATTCTTGAACACTGATCAAATTTAAATAAACATCAGGTGATCTAGAGTTTTTAACAATTTCATCAGGTCATGATATTGCAAAAATAAGATTGGACTGGCAAAGTGAAGTGAGTTGGCATTACTGTCCTGTAAGGTTGTTTAATGATTAACACTTCAGGATTGGATCAACATGGGACGAGATCTGGTGAGAACGGAGAAGAAAGACTACACTGACAGTTTACAGAGGGTGTGTGTTTATTGTTGTCAATAATCTCTCTTCGAATTCAGTTTAGCATGTTTTAACATGTAGCCGAATGGCGCTAAAACTCTCAATTTGAGCATTTTGAGTTCATTCAAATGTTAAGTAACCTACACTGACAGTTTACAAAGGGTGTGTATTTCAATTTGTAGCTGAATGGGACTGAAACTCTCAATTTGAGCATTTTGATTCCATTCAAATAGTCAGTAGCAAACCATTTTAACATGACTCTGTTTTGGTTGATTATGTCTGTATATCTATATAACATGGCAACAGTATCAGATATTGTTGTAAAGAAGGTAACTGGAGATGAAATTAGAAGAAATGATAATGATAATTTTCAAGAATGGGGTTTATTTTGAATAGATTATTGAATAATAAATATGTTTTCAATAAATAATTAATAACAATTAAATTTTTAGGCTATGTCAATAATTAGCAGCTTTGAGGATCATCCCAAGCCTGCTAAGAGGGTACCTGACTACAAGGCTATTTATAGATACTTGGCCCTGGTCCTGGAGGGAAAAGAACTGCCCTTGTTGGGGCCACTAGGTAAGTTGTTTTACACAAACCTGGTCCTGGAGGGACAAGAATTGCCCCTGGTGGGGCCGTAAGGCAAGCTGTTTTATATAAACCTGGTTCTGGAGGGACAAGAATTGCCCTTGTTGGAGCCGCTAGGCAAGTTGTTTTATATAAACCTGGTCCTGGAGGGACAAGAACTGCCCCTGTTTGAGCTGTAAGGCAAGCTGTTTTATATAAACCTGGCTCTGGAGGAACAAGAATTGCCCTTGTTGGGGACGCTATGTAAGTTGTACTACTGGCCCTAATCTAAAGATACTTTGTCATGTATGTCCTTCTTGAAGATTTTGGTTGTGATACTGAAATAGCTCCATCAGTCTATACATCTAGTTATCATTCCATCCAGTAAGATTTGTGAAGTCTGTATAAAAGTACATCAGTACTTCATAAAATCAGCTAAAATCAGTACATGTATTGATCTATATATATACAGGGTGTAAAGGCTGAATTTCATGCTTTATCAGCTGGGTTTGACACATTTCTAATATTTATGGTCATTGGTGTTTTGTTATAGAGAGTGCGGTCGTGCTTGACCTTCTTCATGGTGTGGTGAACAAAATTGCTGTGTCTGAGACATCTAGACAGCGACAGGTGATGAAATGGAAATACAAGCTTCTTTCTGGAAAAGTGGACACATCAAACAGCTTGCCATTCATCAAACAGGCTCGCAAGGCTCTCTCTAATGGTAAGCACTTAAACAGAGTTATGGGGTGCTCTAATGGTCAATTTGCAAACAAGCTCACAAAGCTCCCTCTATTGGCAAACACTCAAACAGACTCACAAGGCTCTCTCTAATGGTAAGCACTTAAATAGACTGCTAGGGTGCTCTAATGGTCAATTTGCAAACAAGCTCACAAAGCTCCCTCTATTGGCAAACACTCAAAAAGACTCACAAGGCTCCCTCTAATTGTCAATTAGCTAATAGGCTTGCAAGGCTCCCTCTATTCACAAATACTCAAACAGGCTCGCAAGGCTCTCTCTAATGGTAAACACTTAAACAGACTCACAAGGCTCTCTCTGATGGTCAGTTAGCTAACAGGCTCACAAGGCTCCCTCTATTGGTAAACACTCAGACAGTCCACAAGGCTCCCTCTATTGTTAAACACTCAAACAGTCCACAGGCGCCCTCTTTTGGTAAACATTTAAACAGTCTACAAGGCTCCCTCTATTGGTAAACACTCAAATAGACTCACAAGGCTCCCTCTATTGTTAAACACTCAAACAGTCCACAGGCTCCCTCTATTGGTAAACACTCAAATAGACTCACAAGGCTCTCTCTATTGGTAAACACTCAAACAGACTCACAAGGCTCCCTCTATTGGTAAACACTCAAACAGTCCACAGGCTCCCTCTATTGGTAAACACTCAAACAGACTCACAAGGCTCCCTCTAATGGTAAACACTCAAACAGTCCACAAGGCTCACTCTAATGGTAAACATTCAAACAGTCCACAAGGCTCACTCTAATGGTAAACATTCAAACAGTCTACAAGGCTCTTTCTATTGGTAAACACTCAAATAGGCTCTCTAGGCTCTTCTTGATCTGTAAATACTTAAATGAAGATGTTTTCTGACACTGACTTTTGATGATCTAGGTCATTTTCAAAATTCTCATTTGAATTTAACTAGCAATGTTTCATGAAGTTGGTTGTACAATGGTCTGTCTTTCTGCTTATTGTTGATAACAACAGTTAGGACATAAACTTCAGTGTACATTGCATGATTCATGCTTAATGTTAAACAATTAGAACAACCAGTTTGCTTGTGTCAGTATCATGTGACCAGGTTGAGTGTCCTACTGGCGGTCTTTGTCAGTATCATGTGACCAGGTTGGATGACCTACTAGGTCATTTGTCAGTATCATGTGACCAGGTTGGATGACCTACTAGGTCATTTGTCAGTATCATGTGACCAGGTTGAGTGTCCTACTAGGGGCATTTGTCAGTATCATGTGACCAGGTTGAGTGTCCTACTAGGGGCATTTGTCAGTATCATGTGACCAGGTTGAGTGTCCTACTAGGGGCATTTGTCAGTATCATGTGACCAGGTTGGATGACCTACTAGGTCATTTGTCAGTATCATGTGACCAGGTTGAGTGTCCTACTAGGGGCATTTGTCCCAGCATTAAACTTTTTGTGGTGATGATTTTTTGATAGGTTTGATTTTAGAAACTAGATTAAAAGTAAAAACCAGTATGTTGCTGCACTACTTCCAAATGCTTATTTTTCATTACAAAGCAAGGGTATGATACTATGATAATAAGAAAAAAATGAAGTGTGAAAATAATGAGTTTTCATATGATTTAACAAGCAAACAAAGAAAATGTTCTAAAATTGACCGTCTTCTAGTATTTAACGTTTTTAGAAAGTTGAAGTTTTTGAGGATACTTCTCATGATTAAAAAAAAATTCTCTGTGCTTCAATTTTTTTCCTAATTTTTACCCAAACCAGCCAGTTTTTCCAAGATCAAGAAACCACCTGAAATATTTATTTTTGGGTCCTAAAAATCTGGGAAAGATGTCACCAAGTCAGAATTCATTTGAAATCATTAATTTGTGATGTTAATCCATGCAAAATTAATTTGAAATCTGCCAAAGACTTCCAGAGTTATCCTCAAGGAAGTACCCTAGCAAAATTTCTTCAAAACATCATATAAATAGGGTAGATATTTTAACCTAGAGCTCTCTCCCTGGGTAGATATTTTACAAACCTGGAGTCCTCTCCCTTGTTAGGTATTTTACAAACATGAAGTCCTCTCCCTCAGTCTATATTTTACAAACCTGGAGTCCTCTCCCTCAGTAGATATTTAACAAATTTCAAGTCCTCTCCCTTGTTAGTTATTTTACAAACCTGGAGTCCTCTCCCTCAGTCGATATTTTACAAACTTGGAGTCCTCTCCCTCCGTCGATATTTTACAAACATGGAGTCCTCTCCCTGGGTAGATATTATACAAACTAGAGTCCTTCCCCTGGGTAGATATTTTACAAAGATGGAGTCCTCTCCCTTGGTAGATACTTTACAAACCTTGAGTCCTCTCCATCCGTCGATATTTTACAAACCTGGAGTCCTCTTCCTCAGTAGATATTTTACAAATTTCGAGTCCTCTTCCTCAGTAGATATTTTACAAACCTTGAGTCCTCTCCATCCGTCGATATTTTACAAACCTAGAGTCCTCCTCCTCAGTAGATATTTTACAAATTTCGAGTCCTCTCCCTGGGTAGTTATCAGGGTTTTCCATAATTTTGTTAGTAGTAGGCTGTGTAGTGAAAGTAGGAAGCTGGCCTACCATGTACGTGTAGTCGTGTACGGAACATTATTACGGATCTGGATTGGTGTAGGCGGCCAAATGATCAAAGTAGCCGGTCAAATTGGCCGGCAACCGGCTCTTATGGAAAACCCTGAGTTATTTTACAAACCTGGAGTCCTTCCCCTGGGTAGATATTTTACAAACCAAGTGTCCTTCCCCTAGGTAGATATTATACAAACCCTGAGTCCTTCCTCTGGGTAGATATTTTACAAACCTTGAGTCCTTCCCCTGGGTAGATATTTTACAAACCTGGAGTCCTCTCCCTTGGTAGATATTTTACAAACCTGGAGTCCTCTCCTATGTTAGGTATTTTACAAACCTTGAGTCATCTCCCTTGGTAGATACTTTACACACCTGGTGTCCTCTTTCTTGGGTGATATTTTACACACCTAGTGTCCTCTCCCTTGGTTGATATTTTACAAAAGTATTGAAATAGATTTTTTTTTTCGAAATTCAAAATATAAACATAGAATCAGAAGAAAGGTTAGAAAGTTGTATTCACTTTTATATGATCCCTCTCAGGATTTTGCTTGTTGTTGTTGATTATTTGAATGACTAACAAGTCTAATGTTTAACTTACACTTGAATTATGGTTGAACTTTTGACTTCCAGATTTTACTGATTTTGAAGGCCAATCAAGCAGTAATATCAATAAAGTAGGGAGAGATGTAAATACAGAGACCAGTCCAGGAAACGTGCCTTCTTCTTCCAGTCAGCTTCCAGCCAATACAAGAACAGAAGCCAGTAAAAAAACTAACACCAGTAAGCTGCCAGAGAAAACCACCACAAGTAATAAACCAGCTACTATTTCCTCTGAATCCTCAGCTGTAGTTAATTCTAGAAAAAGCCTGGTAGTATGTGAAACTGCAGGAACATCACAGAACACTGAAAAGTCAGACAACCCTTCATCTGTAGTTCATCAACAGGAAGGACTACCCAAAACACAACATAAACAAAATAGATTTGAATTATCAAGCTTAAGAACTGAGAATGACATTACAGTTGATAGAAATATGTATGTCACTGTTGACAAAACAGATGAAGGAAACAAGAGCATTGATATGGGAAAGCTTCAGGGAAAGAGAAGAATCGTCGAGAATATACAACAGAAAGATGATAGGGCTTTGATACAGGAGGAGGATTGTCCACCGGTCAAACGCCAACGAGGTGATGTTAACAACATAAACTTGTGTCCTCAGCCAGATTTACAGGTTGTTACTGTAGACACTGGTGGTAAGATCACCAACTCAAAACAGACAGGGAGGTCGACCAGCAGTGAAGGACAGAACAGCACAGCATCTGAAGGGAGTCAGTCTTCGTCAGCCCATGAGAATGGACCTCAAGCACCTAAAGACCAGTCACACTCAACTGGAAAAAAACGCAGACTGGTTGGCCGGCCACCAAAGGGCATGATAAAGACAGAGGATGAAGGTGATTCCTCCCAAACTAAGGATAAGTGGCACTGGAGGAGGCCAGGTAGACTTGTAGGGTCGAAAAAAGTTTATCCAGAAAGACAAGAAAAAGCTCCTGAGGACCCATCAGAGATTCCAAAAAAACCTTCACTTTATACTTTGAACCCTTTCTGTGTTCCAGTGAGTCTTCTTCCTCTCCATAATAAATCTATATCTTTGCCAGTCCAAACAGTAACATTAAAGAAACAGATTCCTGCCATCATCCCAAAGAAACATAGTCCTATGTTTAATAAGAGAAAAAATGATGGAGTGACTTCGGTTAGTATTCACAGAATGGCCGCTGTCATTCCAGTGTCTAAACAGCATGTTCTACTTCCTAACGCTGCGTCACAGAAGTCTCAATCATAGGTTCCACAGGGATCTGAATCAGAAATAAATTTGCAGTGAAATGAAATAAAACAATGCTTGTTCCATTTGGTTTTGAAGTTATGTAAATTTATATACTGTAAATGTTCATATTTTAGTGGTGATATTATTTTAGCACAAAATATATATATATAGCAATCATTATGGATACATGAATATATCATTGTACTAAATGCTACTAAAGTGAAAGTGGGCTAGAATTTGAATACGGCAAATTAAATACGTTTACAGTAATTTGTACCCAAAAGTTCATTCCACGATTGAGAATACATCTATATCTATTGAAACTTACAATTATGTACATATGTGTTTATATGTAAATTAACATAAAAATATGTTCTCCTTAGTAGAAATTCTTTGACTAGTGCTTTTGAGTACACATGAAGGTTTAAGCTGTAGATTAAACAGGTAATAACTGAAAATGTTACTATTTTTAGGGGTTTTTTTTGGAGTTTTTTTTGTGGGGGTGGGAGGAGAGGCGTTGCAGTTTGCAAGGAATACTGTGATATCAATTTAATTTTCAGTGATTTTGTGAGTACTCTCAATCCATATCCATTAAGTCCTTTGTCCATGAAAAAGTCAAAATTTGTTTGAAGTAGATTTATTGAGCTTTTAACCACGAAATCAAGTGTGTATGAAATAGTGAAAAAATACAAACCTGAAACTCAATGAAAATGTATGATTTCAAAGTCAATAAAATCACAAAGTCTAGATGCCTTGAAAATGAAATTTTTGGAGACAACTATAGTACTTTTTAATAACTTTCGCAATCAATGCATCTTTTGAACTTCAGGCTATTTGGTGAAAATTTGAACCAATGAAAAATCTTTCTTTGCAGAATATGACTTGGGTGCACATGCACTTTGTTTGGGTACATGTATCTGTGAATGACAGTTGTATGGTGAAAGGTGTGAGGTGAAGACTGATTGTTCTCCCTTGATTTTACAGTCACGTGTGGCTTCATAAATAAGGAAAGAACAGTAGGAATTTTTTTCTAAAAAGATTTGGGAAATATTTTTGGATTTTGCTGCATTTTGGGAAAACAATACTTGTTTGAGCTAGAGGAAACAGCATTCTTTTGGTTGATAACAGGGCAAATAAATCACTGTCTAAACTTTGCTGGTAATATCATCAACGTCCTTAAAGGGATTATTTAGTCATATTGCCAAATGCAATTCTAGAGAATCATTATCTTAAATCTCCTTTGATGACACAGGATGAGATGCAGTCTGGAAGAATTACCTCCCTTTTATTATTTGTCTAGGTTCCATACATGATCAATTTCTGACCAAGCAATAACATATGAACTCTGACTTATCATTCTAGGTAAGTTGTATAATCTTAGGTCTTGTGTGGACTACGATGGTGTTTCACATCTCTGAGATGATTCAGATACATGTCCACTTCAAGTGGATTTTTTACGCATGCTAAAACTCAGTCATATTTTTTCATTTCCCTTTGAAAATCTCCACATCATTCTCACGATTCAGAGACAAAAATAAATAAATGAAATAAAACAGATTATGCTGCTCTGAGCTGACAATTTCTCTCTTTCAATAGTCACATCGGACAAGAAACCAGATTAATTAAATATGATTAAATAGTTTAGTCAACATAAGAACATGGATTTTTTCATCCAAATAAGAAGTCATTTAAGATTCTATCAAGATTAATAAGCCTTACCTCTGTTGAATTTACCGATTGAATAATTATTTCCATCTTCAGTTGTATTGGTTTCAATTCCATCCTACCTTATATCACCACTTTCTTCTGTTATACTACTAGTTAATTTCGTCCCTCATCGCCTGTCAAGCTCATCACTATACGATCAGTACTGACAGAGTGAAACAAAGGGCAGTAACTCTGGAAGGTCAAAATGCTACCAGAATGCTGTAACATGATCTTCAAAAAGAGTGTATTAGTCTGTAATTTGTCAAATTTGTTCCTCCCGGAACCAATCGAATTACTTTGTTTGTGCCTTCAATTTTAACATTACATGTTCCATAACCTCGGGAGTATCGAGGATGTTTATCACTGTTTCCTGGATTTGGTTTTAAAACTTTCATACAACTGGTGTAATCCAATATCTGGAACTTTATTATCTTGTTTCGTAAACATTAAATTCCTGAGGGTTATATTTTCGTACATTATCAAGCATACATCTTAGTTTTACATTGAGATACTGACTTATATATCTCAACTCGGCACTCTTGTATTTCCTTAAAAAAAATCCTCAAGGATGATAAATATGTATTTCGTGTTGTACTCGTGAAATAAACAATGAAAAATTAAATTAATATCATGAGAAAAAAATATGGATATTAGTTTACAAAATGGCGAAATATTGTCAAAATCCATTTCTAAACGAAATCGAGGACATTCATTGAAAAAAATTAGAACTATCAAAAATAAGATAAATTTTTAAAGAGTTAAAGACATTTCACTGTAGAATGTGATAAATCAGACTATATATATATAGTCAACATCTGTAATAATTATAGGATAAGTTCCCTGCCAAATAGAATTTTTCTTCATAAATCATAAATTGTTTGATATTGAGATCTTGCAGGAGGTACATGAGTAGATATGCGCAATATACAGTCATCCTCGTTAGTTCAGAGTTGGCGGGACCGTGAGGAAAAGTCGGCGTCAAGAGTTCACGTCACACGACAAGTCTTCATTATAGACAATCTTTACAGGCATATCAGTGTTACCAATCAAAACAATGTTATAACTGTGCGAGAGCACGTATGACAGAAAATGATAGTACGAATAACACAGAATAATTAACTACAAAAGAACCGGATTGTCAGATAATTAATTGAATCGCACCATACAGCTATTTCGTCTTTCTAGGACTCGTCGTCAGTGCTGCTAAAAACCTGGAGGTTTAGAAACCTAGGAGACGAACAAGGGGGTGGTCTTAAGAACTGTCGATATTTAAATGTAGATTCAATTCATTATTTTCGAATATCGAATCTTTCGAAAGTATCGTTGGTGAAGCCGAAGACTCCTACCCTTCCACAATGCATGCTCTGTTTCTCCTTGTAATTTTTCAGGAATCTCCGCATTATTCTTTTCTTCTGTTCATATTTTCCCATAGGTTAATGGCACTTGAGGTTGTTTGTTGTTAATCAACAATACATGATCACAGGTCTCTCTTTTCTCTCTTAGTCTGATTTGTTACTCAACTCAGTATTTTCTGTTCAAACATTTTACAAATTTCAATGTACTGGCATTGTCATATTCAATAGAACCAAACCAAAATCAATAGAATATTTTTCATTTTGAACCGTAATTAAATCTGCATCAATGCAGATTCGATGTATCCAAGGAGCCATATTGAACGATAAAGTGGTCTGCATCAATACTTATCAACATCATGTATTATAGACGGACCACGTGGCTGCGCTTGTATCACACAATTATCTGTACGTCCGAATAAGACTGAAATAAGTTGGTAATTTGTGGACAAGATGGAATATCTCAGAAATTCTTGTGGTGGGCTGGTGTTATTTGTGATAACAGTTGTAAACTGGGCAGTTAGTGGAGTCAGGGGCGGTAACTCTACGTACAAGACAGCACTGAATGCTGTCCTTCTCGATGGTTACAATCCCAGCGTTAACCCAGGGCGACACTACAGTACACAAATTCTGAATATCAACGTCGGTTTTGGTTTAAAAAATATCCAAACATTTGACGAGTTGGAAAGCGTGCTGACTGTAACTGGAATCATAAGTGTTTCATGGTATGACGAACGGTTAATATGGGTTCCAAAAAACTACAACAATTTGACCACTACAAATTTCAAACAGAAGGAAATTTGGACACCACCATTTGTGCTGTCAAACAGTTACAACAACATTGATTTAATCGGTAACAGCGATATGCCTGTCACGGTACTGTATACTGGAGAAGTGAACTGGTTTCTTCCATTGAAACTTTCCTCGTCTTGTAACGCCGACGTGAGGTTTTATCCCAACGACGTACAAACCTGCAGTTTGAACTTCATGCCTTGGGGATACTCAGGAGAACAGATCCAACTGGTCGTGACAAGCCAGCAAGTCGACAAGAATGAATATGAAGAGAGTCCAACATGGGATCTAGTCGAAGCGTCGCAATTTGCCCATTTATCACCAAAGTTAGGCTTCAAAATCGACGCGGTTTTTAAACGAAAACCGCTGTTTTGCATGATAAATTTTATCCTGCCCACAATTTTCGTGGGCTTTATCAACATGATGGTGTTCATCCTCCCGCCGCAATCGGGAGAACGTGTCGGCTTTTCTATTACCGTGTTACTAGCTTTTGCAGTTTTCTTGTCCACAATCGCCAATGTCCTCCCCCAGACATCCACGCCTAATATGGCTCTTCTCTGCTACTTACTAGTCGCTCATATTGGACAAAGTCTTTTGATAATGCTGTGTACGATATTTGGACTCCGGTTTTACTTACGACCCCAGAAAGATCCTGTACCGAAATGGATGTCTGGGCTGACACGTTTAGCTTGCGGCTGCGCAAAACCGACCACCTGCAACGTGTATCCGGAATCAGAAAGCCGCGACGGGGTGGAGACCGATGAAGAGGCCAGCACTGCCCTATCTGGTGATGTGGTTACTTGGCAACGTGTCGGGAACGCCTTCGATAATGTCTGTTGTGTGTTCTTTCTGATGACGTCAGTAATATACAACACGGCTTTTTGGGCATCTATATCTTCTTGACAGTTAGAACGGTTGGTCATACTGAGTGAATCCCTTACAGTGGATGAAACGTGCACATTTTCACTCTTTGATTGTTTTCTTGGTATCTTTACATCAAACTCACATTGGTATGATAGCTGTTGTAATATTTTATCTATAGTAATACGTTTTATACTGTAACTGGAAAGGAGTAGTATGTTTGCCGCGGAACGAACCCTAAGCCTCTGGTGAACTGATTACCTGGTTAACAGGAAAGGAGCAGTGTGTCTGCTGGGGATCGAACCCTAAGCCTCTGGTGAACTGATCACCTGGTTAACAGGAAAGGAGCATTGTGTCTACGCCGGGGATCGAACCCTAAGCCTCTGGTGAACTGATTACCTGGTTAACAGGAAAGGAGCATTGTGTCTACGCCGGGGATCGAAAACAAAATATCACATAAAACATTTTATAAAACTAAAAATGAAACGCTATTTTATATAAGAGTATTTATTTAGAACCAAATTTCAAAGTCACTAAGTATTTCAATGGCTGAGATAAATATTACAAGGTTTACCGATAAGCAAAGCTGTCGTCGTAATCAAAGTACTGAAAGTACTGCAGGGGCGGATGTTGTGTAATAAAAGCTACTGAAATAATACATGATGTAGTTGTGGGCTTCAGGTTATACCTGACTGTATTCAGATAAGCCTTTATATCAGCATAAGGGTTGAAAAAAAATTACTTTCGATAAATAGGTTTACATTTTTAAGTAATTTTTAATCTTGTTCTTAATTCTGTAGTCCGTGATTAAATATAACCGTTTTGGTTGTATACTTAGTTCTCATTTGAGACATTATTCACGTAGACTGATCAGGTCGGCTGTCGGCGATGAAGCTGCAGACGCTTACTCGTTCGGAGCACCTGGTCTTTTTCTCCTTGTACTTTTTCAAACGTCTCCGTGTAAATCTTTCTATTGTTCATATTTTGCCCTAGTTTTATTGAATTTGAGTTTGAATTATGATTGTGTTGACGTTTGATGTTTTTCTCATTGTTCCTATATAATTCTTGATGAAAAAAATGAAATTTTATCAAGCGAGATGAAAGCATTGGCATTTTATCTAGCGGGATGAAAGCATTAAAACTAAAAACACTGTTCTATAAATTCTCTTATTAGCACTGATAAAGAAAATTATTATCCAGATGCAAGAAGTTGAAGAAAGATTATAACTTTTTACATATATTAAATCATTTGCACTTCAGTCTCACTCCATTGTTATAATCTATCCAGATTATTGCGTATTTAAATTATAAAACATTATGACGTCAGCATATTATGTGCACAGAAATGGCTATGGTTCGCTTCTGTTCCACTGATTACACTATCGATACTTAAACTGCTGGTGTATTCAAAATCATTCGATCGGTTAGTAAATGATCTGTTTTATTTCAAAACCAGTTATAATTGGTAAAAGACAGCAATATAGGTAGAAAATGTATATACAAGCCCTGGACTGTCTTGTAATGGCATTTATGGCTACTATAAATGTAACAATATACTAGTTAATACTTCATGGAATCCTGTTCATTTACACATATCTCACGTTGACATCAAAATCTATTTATCTATATTTGCACAAGCCATACCCAATTTACAATAAACGTCGATAGCACTTCAGGTAATTTGAAACCTAAACCAAACATCATCTAAAACTTGAAACTCCATTTATCAGAGGGTGTACACAAAAGAACAGGTCTACATTATACGTGAAGATGTCTATATTATCTGATGTCTTACATGATTTATCTGTAATATGTTTGTGACAAAGTGTAATTGTTTAACAGGTAGATCATAGTTAAATATAAAACAACTGTGTGTCATAGTTTATTCCGACGGACCGTATTTTTGATAATAACGATTAAAAAAATTAATTTAATGTATGCTAATATTGTTTATTACACTCAACGGCTTAACCAAAACACAAATAAAAGTAAAAGTATTTTCCTTTTTCAATAAACAAATGCTCCTACCCGCTGTTAAGTACCTTAAGACAGCATGTGTTAATCGGTGTATACGTCATTATTTTAATAAATCCGTCCTCAAACATTGTGGATGGAAATTCTTTCATAATCTACTACACTGTGCAATTCTACGTATCTATTGAATTTAATTCTGTGTTTAATTTAAAATTTGTTTTTCTATAAAAAATATACTTACATATTTGACTTTCTTTATATCATTTCATGCCACCCCTCCCCCGTTGTTCTGGTTTCGCACGGTTTAATCAGTTGTTGTAGTGCGTGTATTCAACTTTTACTGATGCTGTCAAATTTCGAACAAATGCAGGTTACAGGTTCCTGTAAATGGACGTGTAAACTTTGTGTAGAGGTAAGCACGGACCTCTTAATTTCCAAATACTTTCGTCCGAAAAAAATGCCTTCCCGTCGTGGTTTTATACATAGGAAAGTCAAATGGATACGCTGTCGGTGCAATTATGACGTCATTTTGAAAAGGAAAAAAAATCTTTAATTTGCCAGAAAAGTTTATTCTAGAAATGGATATGATAATGCTAGTTTGGTTTATAGTAAATTTTTCTAATTTTCTTTACATCATGGATTGTAAGACATTGTTTAAACATTCAAAACACCGAGGCATTTCATCAATTTTTGTTTATTTTGATGGTTTAAACTTTCTGGCGGTTTTACCAAAAGCTTGAGCAAATCATACGTACTTTTGTCGTAGGTTAACTCTATCAGTTTAAATTTATTTCACTCTTGCAAAATATCCAAAAATAAACATTTCTCCTCCGCCCACCTTAACCTCAAAATATAAACAGATAAATAAAACAGGTATGACCGTGCCTTCAGGCAGAAATCGACACAATCAACTGTTGTTAACATAGAATATATCTGCATATGATAATATATGTTGCTTATCTTTATACCATCAATGAATTGGTATCAATGATTCCACTGACATAATGACAGTCTAACCAACCGAACTTGCCATTTCCGGACATGAACATGCCTGCTTTACCGACCCAAAGTATCTGCAGTCTTGGTCACAATATAACGATTAACAGAACTGATACCGGCGCAGCTGAAGGAAAAAACCATACAACACTGGATTTTAAGAAAAAAAAATATATGATTTGTCTGATGCATCATATAATTTACGTTATTTCGTTGGTATTGATCAAATTGGAATCAGGACATAAAAAAGTTGACCTAGATATACGATTTGACTTGTGTCATCGAGGAAACAGAAGACATATAGGCACCTGGAACACATGGTCTGTAATTTTTCGAAAATCTCTGCGTGTAAATCTTTCTTTTATCAATATTTTGTCATCGTGTAATCATTTTGAAAATAGATGGAATTATGGTTAGTTATTGTGTCCGTAAATTTTTGTTGGTTTATCCATTTTGGCTGTAAAATCATATATTTTTGCGGTGCTCAATTTTCGTGTTTTGTTTTTGGTATTTTTTGTGGACACTTAATTTCATGATAATCTGCTTATAATCATTTTAACATTTCGTGGTCTTATAAATTCGTGGATTGATACTATCCGGAAAATCAACGAAAATAAATCAACCGTTAAAATTGATTATTACAGTAAAATACTTTGAAAAATAATAAAGGTTTTGTGACATGACGATATACTATTAAATTTTATAAATCCAAATAGGTTATACCCGATGAAAAAAAATGAATAAAATCTGGTTACATTGTTGCAGTTTATCGTTCATCTATACCATGCAGCAAAAACCCGTGTTCATAAAAGTATATGTAGTTATCGTAAACAGAAATGCTTGTCAATCGAGAATTTATCATTTGTCAATCGTGAATTTATCATATTGATGAGAATCTATTCCGTTCACTCAGTTTCTATTTTGATATCAGATCGTTTCTTTCTTTTTTTTCTTTTTTGTTTGTTTGTTTGTTTTCTTTTTTTAATCGGCTGTAATAAATCTAAACATTTTTTCACATAAATTTTCACTTGAACCGAACAGTTCCTTTGCAATTTTCAAATACTGAAAGCATTCTGTTCAGTCATTTACAAAAAAAATGTTGTGATATATAGTTCGACTTAGGGCGCATATTTGTAAACCCGAACCATGCCATTCTCGAAACCCGTCCAAAGATCTCCATTTCCTTGTATACAAATGGCGGAGGGAACAAGCGAGGCAGAAACTATGTTACGGCATATTCCACCGTGTGAATCAAGCATCATAATTGACATATTAGCACGGTCAGAAATTAAAATGTTTTGTCCTGAATCAAAGCTGACGTCTGAGGGATGAAATGGTTTTTTACCTTTGAAGTTAAGTTTAAATTTCATATCGGCGTCCAAAATCACAACGGAGTGGTCTCCCTTGTTGTCCAAACTGATGACTGCTATTTCGCGTGATTTGTCACATCCTCGAACTTTACTGGGGATAGAAAATAGAAGGTTTCCATCACTATCATGAACTGCACGATCAAGAACTTCCCCTTTCTGGCTGTAGCGTACCAGCTTTCCTTTCATACGGAAGACGCCCTCGACCAAGCCTACGGCAATGTCTCCGTCCTTAAACACAAACAAACTGTAGACCGTCGCGTGCACTCCGATGAAAAATCGATCAACTTTGACTTCATGTGACATTATCTGTGACACAACTCCGTCACGACACGCCACCCAAATACTGTCGTCTGCTCCGGCGCAGATATCCATTATTTGATTCATGAAGTAATTGCGTACATTGATACTGCGAACAGAATTTTCCGTTTTGTTTGTTAGATACAGTTCATTGCCGCCCTCGCAACTAATCCAAGCTTGATCGCCAACCAGACATATACTTCTCACTTCATGGGATATGTGTTCGAATTCGCATATCGTAACCGAACGTTGCATTGTGCCAAAGAGCTGGTACATCTCAGACATGTTTACTTCCTCCGGCACAAACCAGATAGCAGCCACCACCGGAACGCATGTGGTTGATTTAGGTTGGGAAAGAGCAGAAATCGCTTCTTCGTTTTGTAACATGGCTATAGATTTACGAGAGGAGATGAGGTCCCTCACTTTGGAAATCGAATTAAGTAATTCGTCATGATCTTTTGAGATCCTCTCCTCATATACTTTCATAATTTCATCCTTTCTTTTTTGAAATTCAGCACACTCATCCAAACGTTTTTCACAGATAGTATCAATAATTTCCTTCAGTTCATTTGCATGTGTCCGAATTCTTTGAGAGACGTCGTCACATTGTGCCAAAAGTAAGGCCCGCTTTCTCTTCACCTGGTTTAAACTTACTTCCAATGTTGGAACTGCAATCGACTCAGCGTCCTTTAAAAGACAAGAGATATTTTGTCTCCGACGTTCGGCGATTTCGTCTAAATTGCATAGAGTATGTTTGAAACATGAGGAATTGATACATTGAATACAAACGAGTCTGTCATCACAAGTCTCGCACGCAGCAATTGTGCTAAATTCATCGTGGAGGCTACATTGAATTTTCAGCGGAATACTTTCACAATCTTCCTCTGTAGGAGCAAAAGCCATGACGCGGTATTAAACTTGTTTTTGTCTTAGAGTCAATCTGTTAAAAACTACCCGTGCACTGTCAACCTGCCATCCTTCATCATCTATAGGCGTCTAGATCCACGTGGATTTGTGTTGGTCTATGTGACGTCATCAAACTCCAAAGTCCCTCGCCGATGATATGGCGCTACACTTGACATGTTCTCTGTAGTGTCTGTATACAGATCTGTTGTTTATCTTAACTAAAAAATACGTTATCGTAGATAGGTGAATATCTAAGTGTTAAACAAAGGTTAATAAGTATGTACGCTTGTGAAATATCGACAAATTATGAATTAAACTGTATGTACGATGTACAATATCTACACAATAAGGAATTAAACGGTACCTTCCGGATTGTTTTCTTGTAGGATATCACGTAAATTGTTCGATGTAGAAGACTAAGGGAAATCAAAATTGACCGATATCAATACCAAAATATGGAAATGAACAGATTCACCAACCTTTCTCTGAACTCCCTTACTCAATAAATAAATAACACAAAAATCAAATATGACTACTTATTTGGATTCTACACTGGATAATACTCGTTAAACTCAAACCATGTGCGTAAAGCAAGGATGTAGCTTTCAGAAAAAAATCTTAATATCATAATTAAATTAATATTAAATGCAAACATGTTGACAGTGACATGTAATCATCATCATCATCATCATCATCAACATCATCATCATCATCATCACCATCACAATCATCACCATCATCATCATCATCATCATCATCATCATCATTTTCATCATCATCATCATCATCATCATCATCATCATCATTTCATCATCATCATCATCATCATCATTTATCATCATCATCATCATCATCATCATCATCATCATCATCATCATCATCATCATCATCATCATCATCATCATCATTTATCATCATCATCATCATCATCATCATCATCATCATCATCATCATTTATCATCATCATCATCATCATCATCATCATTTATCATCATCTTCATCATGATCACTGAGATGCTCTCTTGTATAGCCAGGTACCAATGCCATCTGTGGATATACTCAACTCCCATGGTAGCAGCACTGATTTACACTGAACCAAAAACCCCAGTATAATACTATATCAATATTATGTTTAAATGTTAAAAAGACTTTCTATATATTATCCATCCTTTGACTTCAGTTTCACAAAAGTTTTAAGGAAATAATCATCTACTGCCACGAATTTCCGTCCAACGACAAATACCAAGTCGAGAAACATTTCTCAATTATACATCTAGGCTTTGGTACGGAAAGAAAACTATTGTTTGTATAATTTTACAAACCAAGCACTGACCAATATACATGTCTTGTCTCTTATGGCACAACAAGGTCTCCATCATGCACAGCATATATACAGTTGAAACTCGTTATGTCGAATTCGCATAACTCGAAGTCCCCGTTTAATTCGAAATATTTCGTCAATCCCGGCCAAACTTTTCACTCGTATAACTCGAAGTTTTCCAACGGTCCTACCGACTTCGAAATAACGAAGTTCGACTTATAATGCCACTACGTCTTAGCTGTTGATAATGTATTGAAGTATCTATACCCTTCAATCTATTTATATATTTATAAAATATTAAAATCTTAACATGAACTGCTGACTCGCAAAATAGATTTTACGGGTGATTCATCCATAGTGTGTATATCCGGGAGCCCACATAATTACAAATCTACATTTATGAGTAAACTTTCATGTTTATGTAACGAGGGCGTGGTTTATGTTCCCATTGAAGTTAAAAATAGCAGGAGTGTCTACAAAACCCAGTTTTACTGAACAAAACATTGACGGTATCCCCTCTCGAACCGCTGATTATACTTTGAAAAAAAATGTAAAGCTTTGTTTTTCGGTGGTGTTGTTTCCTGTATCAAGTCTTTAATGCTTCAAATATTTAAAATAGACAAAGAAAAATTGATCACATTAACAATAATGTACAGCCTTTTAAAAAAACAAGCAAAATGAGGACTTGTAAGTTGGAGGTTCTACGTTTCATCTTGCGAAGAAAAAAATGGTTTGTAATTAATTTGTCTTTACTTGCGATTTTTATTTTGTTTTTTAATTACATCAGTGATTGATTAATAAGACAAGCGGGTCATCATTTAAATTTTAATATTTCAATTTCTACCCGTGTTAAATTTAGTCGGTATCATTTGTCTATGTATTTGACCAGGTAACATTGATCTGGGCGTAAGGATATACCCTAGTGTTGAGAATCCATACACATGTTTGATATTAAACGTTAAATAAAAGTAACCACATTTGCTCCAGATTTGCGAATTATGAATTGATAATGTCATTATGTGTTTTTTAACAGAACATAATTATTTTCCATGTTCTGATATATACTTGAGACCTTGCAAATGCCATCTGCTTTTAATCCTGCCATTGCTTGGAATGAAAATCTCCAACAAGATTGGATGAGTTCACAAAAAACATCATAACGTCATATATGTTATATCTATGTTTAACATATTCAGAACTATGACACTATTCACGACAGGCTTTACATGGCATTTGAGTGTAAAAAAAAGTAAAAAAGGAAAAATTTTTTTGTATCCTGGAGCTATTGGGTGACAGCGAGAGTTGAGAGAGAGAGAGAGAGAGAGAGAGAGAGAGAGAGAGAGAGAGAGAGAGAGAGAGAGAGAGAGAGAGAGAGAGAGAGAGAGAGAGAGAGAGAGAGAGAGAGAGAGAGAGAGAGAGAAACCACAACATGGAGTGATCGGGACTAGCCTCGTTCCCTCGCTTTCGTGATTTCGCTATCTCGCCATCGGTTCTCGTTCCCTCGCCTCCTCACCGTCGTGATCTCGCTCCTTCGCTCTGTCGACCTATAGATACAGGAAGCGAGATTTTAATACAGATCTAAAGATATATACAGTAGAGCCGATGAATTAAGCTGCATCGCACAGCTGTTTTGTCCTTTAAGTGACGCTAAGGACACTACCTTCGAAGGCTAAAGGCGACTGAGGAAAATTCTAAATAAAAGTCAAAAGCTAGATTGAGAGTCGCGCTGGGCCCATAATTCAATAAATGTCTTAATTTCCATATATCTGAAATTTTGAAACATCGTCAAATAGTTTTAAACTATTAAATCTGGGTCCCTCCTAATGCCGGTTGGTGTTTCTTAGGAAGCTAATCAGAGAAAGTGATTTTTTTCAAATGTGTTTCTTTGTTGTTTGTATTTTGATACAATCCGTAAAAATATCTATATATCATCACGGTACAGTGTACATATTTTAGTTAACATTTCTAGATTGAGGTAAGCATTATCATCCATTTAAGTTATTTTCGTTACCTGTAATGAAATTAACGTTGTTGTTTTTTTGTTTGTTTATATATATATATATGTATATACAATGTCCATTCAAATATATCATAATGTATATTTTTCAATGTCGTGTTTTGTTTAAAACAAATTTTACATTTTGCTTCCATGATTGATCAAGAGAACTGGATACAAACTGCATCAAACTATTGCAACCTTTTCATAAATAAACACACAACAACGTAAAAAGCGTCAATCAGTCTTTATATACACTTAAATATAAAAAAAACCCAGAAAAACACATGGAGGGAAAAATAAAGAGAAAGACGAAGGAAGTGAATGAAAGATCAATATAAAAGAAGACCTTCCAATTCTATAATGAGTACATAGTGTTTGCTAGCTTAACTCGTATGTAACGATCACGATTCTTGAGGTACAACACGTTCCTGAAATCCAGTTCTAGTTAGCGTGTTTTAGTGCCAAGCAGTTTAAGTAAAAAGCGGTCATGACTGAAACATCTCAATGTAATTATTAAGAAGGGGTAGGGAAAGGTTTGAGATAGGGTAAACCGAGAGCCGGGACTTAAAAGGAAAGTTCAACGTACCTTGAATGCAAAAATCTATTCACTTCGCAATATAAATAAACATACCGAATGCACATCTGATAGTGTCACTCATCTACATCCACACATTGTATACTTTTATAAAATCAGAAATGAAATAGATTTTAAAAAATAACATTATGATATACCTTTAGGGAAAAAAAAATTATTAACTTAAGTCATTACACAAAAAATATTTACTAAAATATACTAAATGTAGTAACACGTACTTCAAAAATTGCAAAATTTAAATATAAAAATACTTTAACAGATTTATAAATTTCCCGTAACAGTCTAAAATAACCCTCTTTGGAGAACGGAGTAGGACTTCTAGTTTGCATGTACATGTAAAATACATCTACGGAAGTTCATTTGGGACAAACTATTCAGATATGTTCTATGGTGTCCTAAATGCGCTTCCATACTTCTGTACTGTTTTATATATGGATCTTAACGTGGATTGCTATGAATACTCTTGGAAGCATGGAGATAAATTCCGAGAATAAAAAATTGGGAAACTGATTTATTAATCTGCTTTTAAAGATTACATGTAATATGTTCTTTAGTGGATTATGTATCCTTGGAATTGGTGCATCTACATACTTTCTTGTCTGAAAAAGACCGATATGAGATCTCTGAACAAATAAATGTTTACGACGGACGGTCGGTTGGACGTTCGGACGGATAACGCCATACCATAATATGTGCCATCCAAATTTTTGACGGGAGTATAAAACCTAGCAAAAATACAGCAAATACACCTTATGACAAAACATCGTGTTATTTGATCCGTTTGTTCGATTTGTGGTAGTCTTATCTACAGCTACTATACAAACTTCATAGAATTAACTAGTCAGATATTGACAATTTTTTAAATTACTAATATCAGTTCTCAACTTTTTAAAAAATATTTTTCTTAACTAATAACATTTTAATCTGTTGACATCTTGATATGTTTTTTTTTATACAGGGACGCCGGTATCGTAACCAAAGAGATGAAAATCCTGGGCATACACTCTTTGTATCCTGGCTAATGTTTCTGGTTTGATCTTGCCGTATGCTTCTGCTAATATACGTTTTTTCTGCATCGAACTCTGCGATTTTGAAATTTGTCTAGGTTTGATCAATCTCATAATGTTTGTCACCAAGTCCTGTGCTTGAAGCGTTTCCTTGAGCTGTGAAAATAAAAAGAAATATATATTTGAAGATATATACAGCTGAATTGAATGTCACAAAGGTATATAGAACTGTTTTCATTTAAATATGACGATTTATCAACTTAATGTTTCACGGGGGCTTCGGCCACGGATAACACAATTTTCGAGTGTTGATAAAACACCATATTCACCGCAAAGCAAGTTAATAACTGTTTTAACATACGACACTGCCGAAGACTCCGTGGAATGTAATTTCTAGTGTTGATAAATCATCGTATTCACCGAAAAACAGTTTTATCATGACATTTCCGAAGGCAGAAGGCACATAACAGCCAATTTTGATATATCATCCCTTGAGAACAGGTAAATTCCCGTTTAATTATATGACATTTGCTAAACATTTCCACTTTTCAAAATTGTTATTTCCAGTCATTGGATGATTTACAAAAGTGAAAAAAAGAACAATTTGAAAATTACAATAAAAACAATAACATTCAACAAAATGAATATCGCACTCTACGAGGCATGGCAGTGAATGACACCTCTCCGCTCAATTGAAAACTGTTTATTACGTATGATAGGTGTGTGTTTTGGCCAGAATTAAACGGACAATGTATTCAAATTCCTTTTGGTTTCAGTAAATCACGAACATATGCCTGTTATACCTGTATATAGAGTACACATGTAAAGACAAGTTGCTGATCGTACAACCATACGACTAGGGATTCCATCATAAATTGGTTCTACAAAGTGGAGAAACGATTCAATATCTTAAAAGACCAACAGGAATTGTAAATAGGTGAGTAGTATTTCATATATCATGTTATGACAGGAATATAACACACAAACTTCTCTAAATTTCTCCATTTCACTCTAGTTTCCAACCACACACATACGCGATCTTCACCAGAGTTCCGAAATCCGGTGCTCTACTGAAAAGATATCGCGAATCCTTGACAAAGAAAGCCTGTCCATTTGTACATTATTTCACAAATCCATATTATACACTCCTTAGATAAAGACATAATATGGTGCTTTTTTGTTCTACGATTTTATTATCAAGTACAAAAATGTCGGTTGAAAACTGGGAGAGGAGATATCCGGACACTTAAACGTTTACGGAGAACGGACGGACAAACAAGGCAATACCATATAACATGCCCCCCGTTGAAAAATCACCACACGACCAAATTACAAATATGTGAATTTTTAAAACAATTAACTCTCTGATGTTCCTAAATACTTAAAATATGCACGAAATGTTTGAACCTTAATTAATTCTATACTCTTAATATCACTTCACTATAATAATAGATATATCTTTTAAATCCGTGTGCTTTTAATTAAAATAACGCGACAAAAAACTTTATATGCACTCCCTTGTGCTTAATACTGTATGAAGTTTGAATCAAGTTTGTCATCTCTAGTTCATTTAAGTGATTATCTGGAAAACAAACCAAAACTAAAAACTAGGACCGGGTTATTGTCTGACCTTTAGGGTAAATTTAGCCATTCTAGTTACAATGTCAGTATACACATTACAAAATTGACTTTTCTTTGTCAATAAAATATGTTTAAACTTTAAACTAAACAAAATGTGAAATTTGACCTTGACCTTTAGACACACTGACCTTGAACATTGGTCAGTTTACTACTGGCGTATTTTCTAATAGTATCAGATTGAATCAAGTTTCAATACAATCGTTCAACCCTATCACAAATTATCATCTGAAAACCAAAATATGTTGATAAAAGTCTATTTTTAGTAACAGTGACCTTGGTAGTTGACCTTTTGAACCCAACCACAATTCCACTCGGTAATACCTCATAAGCTAACATTTTATGAAATTTGACTTTGACCTCGTTAAATGTTTTTGATGTAATTTTGTTGACCTCAATAGAATGCTTCAATTGAACGATAAAGTGAATCATAGGATAAACAAGAGTAGACAACTCCTTATAAATGACAAACGATAAAGAACCATAAATGGAAATGTGATTATCCTGCACGGGACAAGTATACTGTGATTTTGACGGGATGATATTTCATTTTCTCGCAGATCAGACAGGGATATCCCACGTAATACCACATTCTAGACTTTTCTATCTGTTTATTACTCTTACGTGCGTTTTAGCGGATTTTTTTACGCACCGGTATATTCACCTGAGTGTAGGCGTAGTCACAAAAAAATACTTAGGGGATAGAAAGCTTGTTTTGAGTTTAAAACCAAAACTCATTATCTTATTTTCAGCACATGCTCAAAACAAACACGATCCCCATTCTTAAATACATTGATGACGTAGAAACTCCACCCACAGTTATGTTGTCGATTGATTCGGGTCAGGATGTAGTTAGATTGACGTACTCCCGCTAACCATTCTTGACATTACTCCCGCCCCATGCATGGATACACCAATAACCATTCTTGACATTACTCCCGCCCCATGCATGGATACACCGCTAACCATTCTTGACATTACTCCCGCCCCATGCATGGATACACCGCTAACCATTCTTGACATTACTCCCGCCCCATGCATGGATACACCGCTAACCATTCTCGATATTACTCCCGCCCCATGCATGGATACACCGCTAACCATTCTTGACATTACTCCCGCCCCATGCATGGATACATCACTAACCGTTCTTGACATTAACCCGCCCCATGCATGGATACACCGCGGACAGTTCCTAACATTACTCCCGCCCCATGCATGGATACACTTATAACCGTTCTTGACATTATCCCCGCCCCATGCATGGATACACCGCTAACCGTTCTTGACATTACTCCCGCCCCATGCATGGATACACCGCTAACCGTTGACATTATAGTCCCATACATGGATTAACCGCTTCTTGCATGATCGTCCCTGGTGTTACCCTTGCGCCGCTACACACATACATGCTACTTGATTATCTTGACAATTCCCCCGCCTTCTGCATGGATATACCGCTGACGGTTCTTGAAACTAATTCCTGGCTTATGCATAGGCACACCGCTGACCATTCCTGACATTACTCCCGCCCCTGTGCATAATACCCCCTGCGTAATATGATCGTAAAAAGAATTCCTCACCTTGAATTCATGTGCCGGGAATTCGAAGGATGAATCAATGTGTCCTTGGAACTGTAAAGCTCGCCACAGGGTTTCAACGTAAAATAAGTGATCAGAACAAAACTGTTTGAACTTAGAAAAGTACGTCAACTGAGATGAAATCCAGCTGTAAAAAGTATCCTCCAGTCCTTTACCATGTATTTGATTCACAATGGCCTGCCGTACTGATGTACTAGTGTTGATCACATTCAACACGTGTTCCATATCAGCGTTCAGAGTCTCCTGTTTACATATCAAGTCATAATGTACGGTGCACGGTTTACATAGGTTTGAAACGGGTATTGTGTGTTCTTCAATTTGTGTTCCAGAAGTTACGTAATCTAACATTTCCTGCAGTGTGACGTTGTATCCGCAGTACCCTCTGGTTGTGTTGTAAGGTCTTTTTCTGTATCTTTTCGCTACAGTGGTCCCCCATGAAGACAATGTATAATACTTGTCAACAAAGGCAGAAAATAATCTTGTGTATGGATTTCTTGTTACAAGAACAGTTTTCATGGAATCTGAATGATATTTAAACATTGAGGAAAACATTATTTCATTTTTTCCGTGAACATCTTCTCTGTTGACGTGGAATATATTGTCCGGTGTTTTCGCGTTCTTCAGGGCAGCAACTATCAATCCGATGAAAGTAGTGCCCGACTTCGGTGCTTTACAGAAGGCAATTTGGTAGTTTTCAGCAAAGAAGTACTTCGGCTCTCTATTTTTCACCCACGTTACAGGCATGTTCTCGCACTTCCTGTAGAGAAAATTTCGCCTCTCACGGTGTAACTGGACTAAATCCACTTCGCTCCTGTTGGAAGTCTCCACGTCTCTCCGGTTGGAATCATTACGTCAGTTGCTGTGTCCGCCATTCCGCAATGTCTAAAAAATATATGTTTATGTCAAATCTGGAAATTACGACGGGTAATTAAAATCTGGAGCTGTAGTATCAACAATTTTACTGTATATGATGTTAAGTTATTCATATTTTCTGATCATTTTAACATAATTAAAGGAGAAGGACAATTTTTGACGCGTGACTTGTGCTGGTCTCGAACCCACGATCTACGGCACCAAATCCCCTTGCCAGGAAATTCCAGGCTGTCTAAACACGACATCCCCAAAAAAGGATGTTAGTGATAGGTAGCTGAAATTTTCTCCATATAATCACAGTGGCAACTTGTCTAATTACATGATATGAACACATGGATCGCAATGTTAATGCATACCTGGACACGGATTGTATATATAACAAACTTAATTAGACAGGTAATAGAAATCTGAAACCTCCAGATCAACAACCTTACTGTATATGATGCATTGTTTTTAATTGATTGATATTTTAGCCGCACTTCACGAAAAAGACATTTTTGTACTCAGGCCCTGTCCGGGCAGTTGGTCCAGGCGAGTGTATGTAAAACACTAAATTTTCAGTAATTTGTATCCATCAAGTTCACACAACATGTTCCGAATTCTTCTAAATAATTCAAATGAAGCATACTTTAAATAGTTCGGACATCTGTTCATTTCAATATCATCACTGAAAAGAAGTGTTATTTAAGAAATGGAAAGTCTGTCCTTTAAAACTGGGATTGAATAATTAAACTGTTTAACATTATAACTATGACAGGCAGAAAGATATTCGGTATTGAAACATCAAAACCAAGCCGGTAACAAAGACAATAAGTCAAGACCAAAATGAATTTCCACTGATGAGTGATATCTGCGATAGAAAAACACAATTGACACCTTCTACATTTCAAAAGAGTTACCCATAGATCGTTATGGGACAAACCAAAATAGTTGTCACAAAACAAAATAGTTGGTACAAAACAAAAATGTTTTTTACAAAACAAAATAGTTGCTACAAAACAAAATAGTGTCTATCTATTTTCAACCAGAACGGGTAAAATTATGTTTGAGTACAAGCTAATCGATACATACATAAGTTGTACATGATGATTCGTGTGAAGAACGCACCAGAAAAAATTATAACAACTGAACAACATAAATAGATCTGAAGAAATGATACAAGATACATTGCAGTGTTAAAGTATATATCAGTCTCTTTAACAAAGGTTCAAGTGTAAAGTTGGCCGCTTGAGAAAGGGGAAAAAGAACGCCGGAAGTAAGGGGCTAGGACATTCTCGTAACCGAATATGTGTCAGGCAGTGCCTTGGAAAAGCGAAACATATATACCAAAATAACATTTTGATGCTGAAATAAAACACACAGGAATTTTGTTTAGCTGGTCAGTACTTCAAGAAATGAGGAGAATTTGGCGCATTACAGTGTGTGATCGAGGTTGACATTTTGTGTGCTTGTGTGTATGTTTTGACGTCATGATATTTGGTTGCCTTTAAACGCGGGGTACTTGTAGGAATAAAGAGAGTTTGATTTGTGCCAATTTCATTTTTGTAAAAACATTTTTGGTGTTCAGTAAAAATTAAAAGTAAGTCAAACAAATTCAGGAAATTGAAAATGTTGGCGTCAGCTTCGAATAGTGCAGAGTATGTGTATGCACCATGGCTTCCTTTTTCACGGAAGAATTTTTTTCTCTTTTTAAGTCTTGCATGCTTGGACGAGTTGTCTTGGAGCTATTAACGGCATATAGTTAATACATGATCATGTCTTTAAACAGAAGCCGCATTTTGGCGAGGATGAAGAAAGAATAAAAAGTGGCAAGTCTCTGTTACATTTGTCTTTCTGTTCCGAGTCAAAATGCGGCATATATTTTTTTTTATACTGACAATGTATTCTATCCTCTGTTGTGCTGAATTTTGCCTGATGACGTACGCCAAAATAATTGGTTCCGCACGGGAATATAGTTCCTAACATCAACTGATATAACAGCATATTTATGTTTTATGAATTTTTGCAAATAAATCTATTCCTTACAACATAACAAATTGCACATTTATAAAGTCAACCATATTTTGGACAAAAAGATTAAGTAAATTCTGAAAATAGTTCCGTTAAATTAGTGCACGTGCTAAAATACAGCTGTTTTCCATCACAGCCGAATGTTCCGACAGTGTAGGAATACTTTTTCAGTGTCTTCAAATCCCTGCGACGGGAGGAAAGGCAAAAGCGTGACTTCAGCAACACTTACTGAACATTCACACTATCGAATCTTCAATATTTCCTCATGCATATTTAATCATTGTTTACCTGACGTTGACGTTACGCTGAATATTGCCTGATTACGCACGTAAAAATAATTTCTCCGCGCGTCAATATAGTTCCACACCAACGAACATAAAAAGCAACTTTATAAGTTGACGTAACATAAATTGTTTGTTTCAATAAATAAAATCGATTCAAACATACATTTTTATTTCTGAATGAAATATTTTATAATGTAGTCAATCAGATAGTATTCTGTCGAATCAATGCACGTGCTAAAATACAGTTGCTTTCCGTCATTGACGTATACAGCAGAAATATATGTGATAGATGAACTCTGACAATGGCAGCGCCAGTTGCAGGACAAAGAGCTTTTTTGATGTGTGTTCCATAACGTGACAATTAGAAACATTATTTTTTGTCCTGCTAAAGTATAAAAGAAATGATCCATACCTCGAGCTCTGTTTGCTCTAAATGTCAAGAAAAGAATACCAAACAATCAAATTGGCTGTAAAATCTTGGCATACCCTTTTTTTAGAATAGGGGAGCCGTTTATTTTCAACCTAGTTTAATTAACGCATACGTTCGAGTAAAAACCAAACTTTCAAACCCCTTCTTCACGATCATAGTGCACATCAGGAAAAGCCTCTGAGAGGAAACCTGCGCAGATAGGCAAAATGACCAACGGGGAAGCACTGGGACTCTGCTTATCTAATATACATACATATCTCTTGTGAATAACTATTTACAAACATAATTATTACACATAAATACATCTTGATGAAAACTACCTTTACAAACAAAGTGCGTTATCTACAGAAAATTTGATAAGAACTATCTTTACATAGTCGGTATCTAACTAAGAGGGCAAGAAATAAAAACTCGCATATACCAGTTAAAGGGAGGTAGTATGGGGTGGTTGGTGGGATGTGTTGTAAAATAACTACAGGTGAATAAGAAAGTTACGTTGCAAATAAGATGAAAAACTTTCAGAAAATTTTTTTAAAAAAATCAATATGGCTTCAAGTTGTCTGAAAAATGCTGCTGAAGTTGGGTTTTCAATAGCCCCGCAGGGGCAAACTGACCCCAGGTCAGACAAACGGGGATCACCGAAGCCCCACAGGGGCCAATTATACTGACCAATCAGTGATCACCTGACTTAATTACCATGCATAAATTTACATAAGACTGAAACATCATGTACATAAAACCTTAGTATGTGGGAACCTTTATTGTACAAAAATATATTTATTTATTATTTTAGATTTTTACATACGTTACCAAGATAAGGAAATTATAATGTCTTCCTAAATGAAAGTGACTCTTCAAATTTCACTTTGGGCTAAAAAATATAAAGGGTCGATTATTTGAGCAGAAACCGGAAGTGACGTCATATTCCTCTATAATTTATTCTCTGAAGTCGTTTGACTACGTAATAATTCTTGCAAACTAATTCAGTGAAGTTAAACAACAGTTTATATGCAGCTTTGTATTTATAGATGAAAGCAACCCCAGATGTCAACATTGTCTACACCTATAACACTTATGTAAAACTAACCAGTCCTTACACACCTAAATACACACCACCACTTTGATACTGCATAAAATTTGCATGAAATGTTTTTAAAATGATGTATTTCCACTTCTGTTGCAATTTTAAAGGTATATGTATGTGCATAATACAGTAATATCTCACAAGAACCTTTTATATTACACTGTAAACTGTAAAGAGTTTTTTTTTTAATCTATGATTGTCATATGTAAGTTTATTTTTCTGAGAGTACAAATAGTCGCAACGTGATGTTCAGAGCTATAGAGTACACCATTCTAAAGATAATTATTCATAGCTATCGTTGAAGATAATCTGTTACTCTTCACCTCATGAAAAGATTGTATGTTTAGAATTTCAGTTCAGAGAACAATCAGTGCATGAGATATCTACATACGAGATTTTCATATGGTTTGAACTAGCTCACAACGACCTGTTTTATAGTTCTTAACTCACAACGACCTGCTATATAGTCCATAACTCACAGAAACCTGTTATATAGTACATAACTCACAGAGACCAGTTATATAGTACATAACTCACAGAGACCAGTTATATAGTACATAACTCACAGAGACCAGTTATATAGTACATAACTCACAGAGACCAGTTATATAGTACATAACTCACAGACTCCAGTTATATAGTACATAACTCACAGTGACCAGTTATATAGTACATAACTCACAGAGACCAGTTATATAGTCCATAACTCACAGAGACCAGTTATATAGTACATAACTCACAGACTCCAGTTATATAGTACATAACTCACAGAGACCAGTTATATAGTACATAACTCCCGGAGACCAGTTATATAGTACATAACTCACAGAGACCAGTTATATAGTCCATAACTCACAGAGACCAGTTATATAGTACATAACTCACAGAGACCAGTTATATAGTCCATAACACAGAGACCAGTTATATAGTACATAACTCACAGAGACCAGTTATATAGTCCATAACACAGAGACCAGTTATATAGTACATAACTCACAGAGACCAGTTATATAGTACATAACACAGAGACCAGTTATATAGTACATAACTCACAGAGACCAGT